TTTTGTAATAACACGTGTTGCGAGTCCTGAAGACTTCCGGGGGATCAAAGAATCTCTTCATGTCGTTGTCCCATGTTATAACTATATCCGGACGAAAATAAACTAAACTTCCTTTCAAAAAAAATTACCTGAAAGGCTTAATGACAATTGATTTTTCCCCCCAGATTCGATTTTTTATTGCTCCAAATGTTCCAATTGAAATTCTATTAATTTTCTTGAATACATTTTCTAATATTGTGACGAAATTTTGTTTTAATGGTTTCCAACTAATAGTAATTATTATTATTATTATTATACAGATATATATTATTATTTTTGGTATCCAAAAACATTTTTGAAATACCTGAAAAACTTAAATTCTTCTTGAATTTTTTTCACATTAAAAAATTTTTAATCACAATGAATTTTCAACAATACGTTAATTTTTTCTAATAAATTTATTTATAATCATTAAATTCTAGGACAAGTTTCACGTTAACGTAGTTTACAGTGCTTATAAACAAAGATTTAAAAGAAAAAATGTTTTTCTATTCAATTTTTTGCCTGAAAACTATTTTTTAACAATACTTGTTCATTAACATTTAAAAAAAAATTTGTAAACAACAAAAAATATTCTTTCCATTCGTTGCATCATAAATATTGTAAACTTCATCTACATCAATTTTTTATAATTTATTTTTAATTAATTTAAAAAAGAATTCAATAAAAAACTGAAAAAAATTCAGTTGCATTCTTCCAATATAATTAAATTTCAAAAATAATCGAAGCAAGTTCTCCACAGTAACTAACTTTATTTATAAAATAAGTAGGAACTCTTAAAGTTTTAAACCAAATTTTTACCTCTAAAAATTATCTTTTTATTTAATTACACAGCCACACAAAAAAAAAAAGTTCTGATCTGGGGGTCTCACTATGTAGACTTTATGTTTTTTGGGTCGCTGAATCCGAATCCGAGGTCCATTTAACCTCATCAGATCAGGATTTTGACATAACCTCAAAAAACCAATATGGCGGACACATTTTTGAAAAGTTCATTGGATTCGCTTGAAATTCGTTACTCGGGGGTTTTTGGGGTCGCTGATTACGAATTTGAAGTCTGATTTCAAAAATTCAAAATGGCGGATCCAATATGGCGGACACATTTTTGAAAAGTTCATTGGATTCGCTTGAAATTCGTTACTCGGGGGTTTTTGGGGTCGCTGATTACGAATTTGAAGTCTGATTTCAAAAATTCAAAATGGCGGATCCACTATGGCGGACACGTTTTTGAAAAATTCATCGGATTCGCTTGAAATTCGTTACTCTGGGGTTTTTGGGGTCGCTGATTACGAATTTGAAGTCAGATTTCAAAAATTCAAAATGGCGGATCCAATATGGCTGACACAGACATATTGGATCCGCCATTTTGAATTTTGAAAAACCGACATCAGATTCGTAATCAGCGACCCCAAAAACCCCAGAGTAACGAATTTCAAGCGAATCCGATGAATTTTTCAAAAACGTGTCCGCCATAGTGGATCCGCCATTTTGAATTTTTGAAATCAGACTTTAAATTCGTAATCAGCGACCCCAAAAACCCCCGAGTAACGAATTTCAAGCGAATCCGATAAACTTTTCAAAAATGTGTCCGCCATATTGGTTTTTTGAGGTTATGTCAAAAGACCCCCAGATCAGAACTTTTTTTTTTTGTGTGGCTGTGTTATGAACTACTTTTAAATTTCTTTTTCATTAGGATTCGGAAAAGTCAAAATTCTGTCTGGAAATCAGTGACAATAAGGGAAAAACAAAATACTATGTTTCTGTGGCACTCCTAAAACAGGGTTGCCACAAAAATTTAATTTTCTTTTTCCCTGATTTCCAGAGAAAATTTAGACTTTTTCCCTGACCCTAAAAAATATTTTGATTCACTCTAAAAATTATTAGATAGGTACTTACTCAAAAAAATGTTCGACGCATTTATTTACGAATTTCTTTAACCCTTGAGCGGGTAAGCTGAAAAAATTACGTTAGCGGGCAAGCGGGGTTCATTGGACCCTGTAAAATTTAGATGCTTCTGTGAATTAAAAAAACGTAGAACTTTATATATTTGGTTTGCTTTTTATTATATTTTGAATTTTAATGCATTAAAGTATAAAAATATCATTGAATTTTAAATTTAACAAACAGAAAGCGGGGTCCAATGGACCCCGTTGCCCGCCCAAAGGTTTGAAAGGTTGAAATTCAATATCTTGAAAGAATATTAATACAAAACATGAAGAAATGGATAACTTCGAGTCTTCGACTCGGAGTGATCCATTTCTTCATGTTTTATATAATAATTAAAAATGACGATAAAATCTTTATTTTAAATTATAAAAATATTGTTACTGTAATTTCTTCAAAATTATTTTCATCATTTCAATTCAATTACTATTTTCTAGAATTTTTATTTAAAATTCTTCCTTAAATCAATTATTTTTAATAATTTTTGAAACAATTCTTTGAGAATTTTCAAATTCATTTGTTCACAATTCAATTTTACGAAAATTCGATTATTTGGAAATTCTTCAATTAAATATATATTATGTAGATAATAAAAACTTGAAATAATTTAAAAAGAAATTCAATTAATCTTTTCCAAAAAAAATTAGTTCTACAGAATTGTTAGTTAAATGTCTAAAAAATTCAGATTTTCGAAGATTTTAATTTGAAACGAATTCAAAATTACGAAAGGGCATGTTCCGTTATTTTTTATATAAATAAATAAATCAATAAAAATTCAGTTACTCCTAAAAATTCATGCCTTCAAAATATTCAATTATTATCTAAAATTTTAACTAAAATTAATTTTTAAATCAATTTTTATTAAAAAATTCTACGAGAATTCAATTATTTTAATACAAAAATAAGAATAATATTTAAACCTAAATTTAAATAATTGAATTCTTTTGACGAATTTTAATAAAATTTTTAAAAATAATTACATTTTTCGAGGAATTTTTTACCTTATGAATTTGTAAATTTTACTAATAAATAGAAATTTTCACTAATTTATTAGTAAAATTTACGAATTAAAAAGCAAATTCTTACTAATAAATTAGTAGAAATGACTATGTATTAGTAAAATTTGCTAATTAAAAAGAAAGAAACACGTTTTTTGAACATTTTTGAAGTAATGGAAGTAATTCAATTCACCAATTAAAACTATATTAAAAATATTAAAGGTGAAAGAAGTTAAAAATTTTTCCGAATCAATCTCGCAAATAAATCTCTTGAATAAGCTCAGAAGTTTCTACCTCATGAGCAGTCTACCGGCAATAAAAAGGTCGTGGGTTCGTATCCCACCATGCTACCGTTTTTTTCTGAGTTTTTTGATAATTTCAAAATTATTAATTAATTTCGAAAAATATTTTTCAGATTAAGCAGGTTTCTGTATTAGGGGAGCTGTGCTGTCGATACATACGAAACTCATGAGCTTATTCAAGAGATTTATTTGTGAGATTGATTCGGAAAAATTGTTAACTTCTTTCACCTTTAATATTGATTACCGAATGATACATTTATTTCCTTTAATTATATTAAAAATATAATTGAATTATTATAAAAAATTTTATTAATATTTTTGAAAATAATTAAATACTTTAGAAGAATTTTATAATTTATAAAAATAATTGAATTCTTGCAAGGAATTTTATTAATATGTATTTGCCCAAATAATTGAATTCCTGCAAAGAATTTTGTAATTTATGAAAATAATTAAATTCTTTCGAGTAATTCGATTCAAATTGAATATTGGTAATAATTTAATTCTCGTAATAAATTTTATCAACAAATTTTTAAACAATATTGAAATTCTGCGATGAGTTTTATTATTTATAAAAATAATTGAATTCCTAAAAAAAATATTATTGTTAATGAAAATAATTGAATCTCATCTTTTAAAAATTTTATGATTTATTAAAATAATGGAATTATTGCGAAGAAATTTATTTATTATTTTATTTATTTATTTGAACATAAACGGATTTCAAATAAACCCTTTCGTACAAAAGTACTTATTAATAATTGTACAAAAAGAGCCTTAAGAACGATTATTAATGTAAGTTATAAAACGCTAGGCTAGACTTTTTAAAATTTTTAAAAATTTGTAAATAATTAAATATTTGTGTAGAATTTTATTAAAAGTTTTTTAAAATAATTGAATTCTTTTGGAAAATTTTATTAAAATAATACCTAGTAGATATTGAAAATCATTGAATTGAGGAAAAGTTTTGATGTAATAATTGAATTTCTGCAAGCATTTGTAACTTCTTCAAAATTTTATAAAATTTCAAATTAAAACCTTTTTGAAAAACAAAAAAGACACCAAGATTCAGAATTTTCTTATGAATTTAAAAAATTTAATTTTTCCGGAACTTTTAATAAAAATCCCTGCCTTTTTCCTGACCTGTGGCAACCCTGTAAATATATATAATATAATATTTATTAATAATATATGCAATTATTATTTATTATAATGTATAAAGAAATTAAGTATTTTAGAAATTATAGGTATATAATAATCTAAACTTTAATTAGAGTTCCATTTTACTTTAATTAAAGTGATATACACGAAAACTTCCTCAATCTCCTAATAAGACCAAATTAATTGTACTGATCACGAATGGAAACAGATCTGGTTAAATTTAATTCTCACGGTACTAATCGATTTAACAAAACAAATTCGATTCCAGCGGTTATAAAACTAATTACTTTCACACCTTTCCCATTTTCTTGCTTTTCTAGTTGCATAAATTAATATAATTTATATTTTATACGTATTAGAATGAACAACAAAGTAGAGTAGTATAAATAAAAGCAATAAATAATTATTTTAAAAAATAAACGAGTAATTATAATGAAAAACTTGAATTTAAAGAAAAGATAAAAAAACAATTTCCTGGTGTGAAAAAAACAAAACAATTTTTTTTACATGAAAATTTCTCATATATCAGACGACTTATTTCATTTTTGTTTTTCAGCAACTGAAAGATGAGTTGGGCGAAGTTGTGGCCGAGATGGAGGCGATGGAAGGAGGTGGATTGGCGACGGACGAGTCGAAGCCATCGAATAAAGCAAAGCAAATGTCAATCGGACGTAAAAAATTCAATATGGATCCGAAGAAGGGAATCGAGTACCTGATTGAACATAATCTATTGACAGCAACACCCGAGGATGTTGCACAGTTTCTCTACAAGGGCGAGGGACTCAATAAGACGGCAATTGGCGATTATCTTGGCGAGAGGCACGATTTCAATGAAAGGGTACTAAGAGCTTTCGTTGAACTTCACGATTTCACGGATTTAATATTGGTTCAAGCATTGAGACAATTTTTATGGTCATTCCGATTGCCTGGCGAGGCACAAAAAATCGACAGAATGATGGAATGCTTCGCTCAACGTTATTGCCAGCTAAATACAAATATTTTCACCAATACCGATACATGCTACGTTCTCAGTTTTGCAATAATTATGTTAAATACCTCGTTACACAATCCAAGTGTCAAAGACAAACCAAGTGTAGAGCAATTTATTTCGATGAATCGAGGGATTAATAATGGTGGTGATCTGCCACGGGAACTTCTTGTGGTGAGTTGATCAAGATTCTTTAGAGTTCGATTTTTTTAATTTTTACCATTTTTTTCTGTCGGCTTAAATTTGAGATACGACCTTTTAAATATCTTTATATTGAAGCTTGTAAAATTTGTCAGAATTTTCAGATGCAGCTATATTTAAAAAAGAATTTGGCACTTTTCCAATATTTATTTTTCTACATTTTTATGTTGGTCGGTTTCATTCACACTTCCTTGTTGTTTTGCACTAGACGACACTTTTTTATTATCCATTACTTAATGGCAAATGTTTCTCCTCTTTTTTTGTGAGAGCATATTTTGTAAAATTTAAATGCAATAAATTTTAAGAAATGGAACTGTTAAGACATTTTTTTTGCATAGTAAATCTCGAAGATACACAAACTTAGATAGAACATAAAAACAAATGTATAAATTTGAATACGAAAAATAATATATTGTGTTTAAACTCTTAAAGTTTTTTAACAATGACTCATTATCTTTGTTAGGCTCTAAAAATTTTAGCATTTGAATTGTAAATATTTTTAACATTTAGTCAGATTTTGTGTCAATATTTTTTTCTCAACGAAATAATAGTAGAGATAATTTTTGCTTTAATTTTTGATAGATTACTAATTATGATAATATCAATCATTAATAACAAAAAATAATTTGGATATAATTACTAATTCGATAAAAAATAGAAAAATTAATTAATTCGAGAATTTTATTTTGAAGTAAAAAATTTATCAAATTGGAAATATATATATATTGAGACAAAAAACGAATCAAAAAGTTGCTTTTTGATCAATATCTAAGAGTGGAGAATATTTTTCACTGTACAACAAATTTTTGAAACACTAAATTTTCTATCTCAAATTGACTACTGTTTTTCTATTCTACTTGTTTTCTTTTGTCTTTCATTCTAATCCTTGTGACCCGAGTGAGTCACAAATTGCAAATCAGTTCCTTATTTTCTACACGTCTGGCAACTTTTTAATTTATATATACGTAAGAGACAAAAAAAATAATTAAGTCATTTTCATTCTTCAAGTACAAATAATAAAATGACGTTTAAGAAACTATTTTTAGAACAAACATTAAATGCTTTGTGAAGCTTGGAGTTTGAAAAAAAAAATCTCTATAATTTTGCCATACAATAAAAAAATAGAAAAATAAATGGTAATTTTCAATGCCTTGCTAATATGATTAACGAGATAAATGATTACAATCGAAATTGAAAAAAAGATTTTATTGAATCAATAGTGAGTCAAAATGCAATACACAAATGTATATTGTAAATTATTGATTTTGCAAATCTTGAGCACGTGATTTACAAACGTATATGAAGCATAAAAGCTCAACGACGTGTACAACTATATCGCTATAAAAGAAACAAGAATGACGTGTCAAAATAATTATGAAATGCAAGAAGAGGGGACAATAAGGTTTGTGATCTAGTGATTATGATTGAAATAAATCATTTTATCACAAGAACTTGTTCAGTTTTGTAATAACAGCAGACAATATATTTTATTCTCTTTTGCGCACGATTTATTATTGGTGGAATAAAGAAAATTGTTTTGAAAATTTTCAAATAAATTCATCTCTTCTCTCGATTCCTAGAGAATTATTAGTAATTATTATTTGAAGAAAAAAAGAACAATTTCATGAATTATTTAAAGGAACTTTTCGCCTTAATTCACTATTAAGATGACAGTCGCTGGAAGAAATAAATGTCTTACATAATTTTTAGTTTCTTGTTAAGTAATTTAAAGTTAATAAAAGTGAACGAGATGAGTGCAATTTTAAACAGAAAAAAATGATGAAGAGAAACTTGAATTTTAATTTAATATTTCAATGTTACTTTGTAAAATAAAACTTCAATTTATTTAATCAGTTTTTTGTTCGCAAGAAAAATTCAAAAGAATTGTATTATTTATTGAGAATAATTATTCTCTATAGATAATAAAATTCTTTGGATGAATTCAATGATTTTCAAAACAATTTTAATAAAATTTCACGAAAAGATTTGGTTTTTTTTTATATAATTAATAATTAAAATAATAATTTGCAATTATTTCCTGAAATTTTGATAAAATTCTTCGAAACATTTAATTATTTTCAAAACAATTTTAATAAAAATTTTGAAAAGGGTTCAATTATTTTTAAAAGATATTGTACAATAAAATTTTTTTGAACATTTAATTATTCCCAAAAATTTGTATAAAATTCTTTGTGAATTTCAATTATTTTTCAAATTTCCAATTAAAATTATTTTTAAATAACTACATTTAAAAAAAAATTAAATAAATTTTTCAAAATAATTCAATTATTTTCGAAAATTTTAATAATATTCTTGGCAATAAGAATAAAATTATTTTTAAACATTTGAATAACATTCTTTGGAAGAATTCGATTATTTTTATAAATACCTAATAAAATTCCTTGCGGGAATTCAATTACTTTCAAGACAATGTTAATAAAATTTCTCGAAAGAATTCAATTTCAATTTCAAAAATTTTGATAAAACCTTTCAAAGGAATTCAATTATTAAAAAAAAATTTTAATAAATACTTTTCAAGAATTTAATGATTTTCAATACATTAATTTTAAAATTGAAAGCATTGAAAAAGAAAAGTTATATTCTAAAAGAAAACAAAGAACCAAAAAAATAAAAAATTTTAATCTAAAAATTAATTTTTATGAAAATGATTAATTAAAATTTAAACAAATTCATTAATTTAATTTTGCGAAATAATTTTTTTTATTTCATTCATTTTATGGAATAATTATTATTTTAGTGAATAAATGCATTGTAAATATTCTCGAAGCTTTTTATAGGTCTGATTAATCTAAAGTAGGGTGTTAAAAGAGATAATTTTCGTCACTCTCTCAATCACTGGTTTTAATGACAGATTTATGTAAGCACTATAGTGCATAGAATTTATATTTTATAGTCTCATTAAAAAATTTACATTTTAATAATACGGTAATTATGGGGGAGAAAAAATTGGCAAATGTCAGTGAAAAATTGAAAGCGTTTGACACAATTTTTAGAGTGTAGGTAAATTTATTATTTATTTCCTTATTTAGTTACTTATTTAGATACTTATTTATTTAGCTATTTCTTTACACTTTTAATTAATTTATTTATAAATGTGGAGAAGATTTTTGATTAAAACGTAATTTTCCTTTGTTGAATAGAGTTTATACGAGAGCATAAAAACGGAACCTTTCAAAATACCGGAGGACGACGGTAACGATCTGATGCACACGTTTTTCAATCCGGACAAGGAGGGCTGGCTCTGGAAACAAGGTAATTTCGTCATTATCCATCTTGCGAATACGCTTATTGCTTTCGTCTTTCACTTTGCACGTCAGTTCATTACAAGACGAACGTTATTTGCGGTAGAGGAAGGACGAGAACTCTGGGAAAACAGTGGCGTAATTGTTCCATTTTAACAATATTTAATAATTATTATTAATTAGAAAAGAAAAAAGAATCTTTGCAATCTTTGCAATCTTTCGAACATGAGGACTAAGAGTTGCAAATTTAACTATAATATGTACTCCTTTCACTCATTGTATCTCGCGTCACACAATCTATTATGTAAAACTGAGGTTTGTAATTTGAAAATATTCTCTAAAAAATTAAATTAAAAAAATGATAAAAATTATTTCGAATTTTTTAGAGACTAAAACTTTGTTACGTCACTGTATTTTGAGCACAGTTTTTCTATCAAAATTGAGACAAAAAAGAATGAAAAGTTGATTCGTTTTTTTCTCAATTTTGATAAACTTTGAAAAATTGAGAGAGAGAGAGAGAGAGAGAGAGAGAGAGAGAGAGAGAGAGAGAGAGAGAGTGTCATTATCAAAACTTCATCTGTTGAATGTTAAAAAGCAATGTTTACTAATTTTTTTTTGTAAACTGAAAAGAAGAAATTAAAAAAGGAAATTTTGTCACTTTTGCCCCCTTCTGCTGCCCTATAAACGGAGACAGCAGGTAAATACGTTTTATCTTTCTTTCTTTTTTTTGTTTTTTTGCTGTTTCTCTTGTTTCTCGTTACTTGAATTGTCTTTTTTTCCTAAAGACTAAAGAAAAACGTTTAATTGTTTCAGGCGGACGTTACAAGAGTTGGAAACGACGTTGGTTCATTCTCAACGACAATTGTCTTTACTATTTCGAGTACACGACCGACAAAGAACCACGTGGTATTATTCCGCTGGAGAACATTCAGGTCAGAGAAGTACAGGATCGACACAAGCCTCATTGCTTTGAACTCTACGCCGCTGGCTCCGAGTTCATCAAGGCGTGTAAGACAGACAGTGAAGGAAAGGTCGTTGAAGGTACGTTGTTATAATAAACACATAACTGGGTAACGATAATTACGATAATAATAACAATGAGATCATTCCAATGCATTCACATCACACTCCAACTGTTTTCAACAATCTGATGCCAATCGCGCGCGCGCATTAAGTATTCTTTGCGCGAGCGGAGGGAAATTCTTTTCTTTTCTTTTTTTTATTTTCTGAGGATGGAAAAGGTGACAGATTTGCATTGAAAGGATGTTAATTGCTTCTCGACCGATTGTTCTAGAAACTTTTTTTATTTTCCTTTATTATCAACTTTTTTAAAGTCGAGTTATTTTGTTTTGGACGAATATGGACGAAAGTGTGGTTGCCACAGGTCAGGGAAGTCAATTTTTTGTTCCAGGCCTTGAATATTATGACTCTTTTGACTCTTTTGTCTTTTTTCGACCATTTTCAAAAATTGAAACTCTTTCGACTTTTCTTCCAAATATTGCAAGAAAATGCAACATTTATAGTATAAATTGAACATTATTTCGATTTTTATAGAATAGTGGAAATAAATAAATAAATTTAGTGAAAACTAACTACATATAGACAAATCTTTCAAAAATTATTTTTGAATAACTTCTCTAATTACATTTTCGAAATATAGGGGAGACTGGAGCGAAAGGTTAAATTTTGCATAAATGATTTTTTTTAAGCAATATAATCCGCTTAGAAGCAAATATTCATATATCAATCAAAAAACATTTTTAACAACATGTAAAAATACATTTAACATTTCGCCCCAGGGTGCATTTTTGGCTTCAACAACAAATATAAAAAGTCTGACTAAAGATATTTAGCAAATACCTTTAGGTATCTCTTCAGGGGACCCAAATAATGAAGTAAAAAAATCCCGATGAGAATAAATTCAAAAAATATACTTAAAAGTTGATATTTTCTTTTACGAAAAAATTTTCAAAAGTAGGGTGAAAACAAACTTTAAATATGGACACCACAAAAATGAACAGAATGTCACATAACTCCGGACATTTATTAAGAGTGATAACACCCTTCTATATTTAAAATTGCAATCCTCTAACTATTTCCGTTCGAAAGATAATGAATTTTAACTGTTTTCACAGTTTAACCTTTCGCCCCAGTCTCCCCTACAATTAAAAAGATTTTGAATAATTCAATTTTTGTAAAATTTAATTGAAAATAATTAATTTTTTCGAGCATTATTATCACAATTTTTGAAAATGAAATTTTGAATGAATTCTCAAAAATTTGAATGTAAAATCTGCAAGTGTAAATTTAAAAATGAAAAATATTAAAAACTAGCTTCTAAAAAATTATATTAAGGGTACATACCACTTTGTCATTTTCAAAAAAGCAAAAATTAGTTCAATTCTCGATTTCCGTAAATTTTTATTTAGTTTTTATTCGACATTATTTTCAAGGTTTTAAAATAATAATTTTTCTTTCTAGGGAAACATACTGTTTATAGAATGTCTGCTGCGACTGACGAGGAAAAAGAAGAGTGGATCAAATGTGTTCGGTAAGATTTCTTTTCCAAATTGAATAAAAAAATTATTTCTTAAGCTTAAAAATACAATATAAATTTTTAAAAATTTACTTTAATTTAATTTACTTTAACAAAATAAATAGATAAGTAATTAAACTTTTTATTTTCCAGGCAAAGCATATCTCACAATCCATTCTACGATATGTTGGCCGCGAGAAAGAAGAAGGCCCAAAAGACTCAGAGTTCAAAGAGTTAAAAACCGCAGTGTATAAAAGCCGAATTAAATTTCGGTTTGATGAATTCAAAGACTGTTCTCGTTCCCCTTGGGTTCAACGTAATCCTCTTGAGGCTTTGACCAAAAGTAGTCAAGAAAAAAAAAAGAAAAACAAGAAGAGGAGCTTGAACTTCGATCAAGGAAATCAATATTGTTGATGAACAACCACGATATTTGATGGGAGTTTTTGTTTTACAAACATGGTGTAGTACTCATTGTGTGAATCAACACTTGAAAGGAAAGAAAATTTTCCTTATGAACTTTTTACCAGTCTAGTATTTACATTCGTGCCTCACGTAATCGTAAAGAAAAAAAAAAAGAAAAAAAAAGAAAAGGAAAATGACTAATCCGATTAGTGAATAAATCGAATCGAAGAATAATTTCTATTATTCTCATTTCAAAAGTGAAAGTTACTTGAGAAACTAGAATTCAGTAATGATGGTAGATTATTCTAGTATTGAATTTAAAAATCTCAATATATCGAAATTAGAAATTAGTGAAGGGAAATGAAAAAAATATCTTTAAAAATTGATTTTGGCCATCAATATTTACAATAGTTTCTATTTTCTTTTAATATTTCGTTAGTCAATTTCCGAAAAAGAACTGAGCCAAAAGACGTAGGAGAAAAAAAGAAAGAAAGAGCCCGTATGAAAAAAAGACGAAGAAAAAGAAATTTAAAAAAACGCGTGTAGATTTTATTATTCTTGTATTTATTTGAACAAACTTGTAGATAAGGCTAGTTAAATTTGTTAATCTATAGATATATTTAAAAGAATAATAATCGGTTCAACTGTACTTCGCGTACAGTTTTGTAAGTATGACCCGATTGGTCAAAACATGACACTAGTTTAGGATTTTTTTTTCTGTAAGTATTGATTTGGTTTATCTATAAACCAGAAAACACATCAAATGTCGCCTACTTTCACACACTATTTGTATATTATTCGAAATGTGTTGAACTGTTCCTATTTTTTTTTTTAAAGAAAATTTCTCATCTATTTTTGAAAAAATAGAGTCGCTTCCATCGTTTCTGGTCAATTATCGCGTTAATAGACATATTTTTTATATCTATCTACGTGTGTGTGTGTCTTCCTTTGTAATATTTATATATGGAAAAAATTAATTAATTTCGTTTCTCGATTATTTACAAAAGGGTCTAATGTCTCAGTGATTGTTTAATATTTTAAACATAATCTACCACTGAATTTATACAGTACTTTTTTAGGAAATAAAATCAAAAAAGGAGGAAAATTATTTTAGAAGTTAAAATAATGAGAAGTAAAATAGACCCTTTTAATATTAAACGTTCATTAATGATTTTTTTAAGTATTTGTACATTTGATAATCGTATACATATATTTTTTTAACTTTACGTGTATTAAGTGTATGAATAGCGACTCTATTTTTTTGACATTAAATAAGCGCAAATCTGTTTCAAGATTTCCGATTTCGTATGAAAGAAATATTATATTATATATATATATAAATATTATATGTAAAAGACTTAGTACTCGATAATATTGAGTTCTATAATTAATCGAAATCACCATTTCTTTTGACAGAAGTTTACTTGTAAATAACACAATATCTAATAATGAACATAAATTACATACATTGTTTTTTGAAACTAGTCCTAGCAGCCGATCCGTCATGGAGAATAGAAAAATCTTTTCAATGAAAAACTGTCAAACATCGAAATTGCCTTATTAATTAGTGAACGTAAATTTGCTTAAGATTTTGTAGATAAGATTTATCGTATGTTTGCGCCTTTTTAAAAAATAAGTTGATTGTTTTTCCGACAAACATAAAAAACATGACGGACAGTAAAAATTATACGCAAAACAAGAAAAAAAGATTTCGAGAAATGACCCGTCCAAGAGTCATTTATTCTTACAGTCGAACCTTGTTAAGTGAAATTTAGTTTCTTGAAATAATTCAGTAAGAAATATTTAAATATAAATTTTAATTTTCTAACATAAGGAAAAAATTGAACACTGGTAAATATTAGTAATTATTGTTGCATTATCAAGCTTTCACTTAATTAGTTTTGACTGTAGCTGTATTCTTAATTTTGCATAAGGTATTTATATAGTCGTGGGCCAAAATCGAATTTTCTGCCACATGAGTTCATTTTTACAGTCGAACTCCTTTTAAGGGAGATAATAAAGAATCTTTTAATCACACTTCAAGGTACGACTGTATACAGTACAATAATTGTATAATATTCCAGATTCTCTTTTTAATTATTGAATAATTGGAAATTTTAAATAATCATTAATTAAATAAATCTTACGAAGACTGACAAATCTTCTACTAGTGGTAACGAACACAGTCAAACCTCGTTAAGCGAGCATGATTTATTCCTAAACTATTTCCCATAAATATTAACAATAGACTAGTGTTTCTATCGTTTCCCATTTAACGAGGTTCGACTGTTTTAATTGATTAATACAAAAATTTAGTGGTCAATTCAGGCTTTTTGTAGAATTGTGCGCAGCAACATTCGTCCCTTGAGCTTTTTAACGGCAAGTGTGTGTGTAACCAGAACAGTATTTTGTTGTGAAGAATTTTCACAAAACGCAAAAAAGATATAAAAAACGATGTCCTGTTTGTTTAATTTAAAATCGAATCGTCGTGTCAATCGTCTTCTGTCGGAACAGTTTAAGAAAAAACAAAGTAAATAAAACTGATATAGATTCAGCGTGCAATACGTCAAATTTGTATAGAGATGAAAAGTGTACATTTTCCTGTATATTGTTATTTTTATTTGATAATTGTTATGGTTACATAATGAATTAAATATCGAATCGAAATCATATAGTATGTGTAATTATTTAAATTTATTAATAAAATAATATTTTCATTTCGTTAAATATTTGTAGATTATTTTTGGTTAACTGCCTAACAAGTAATTGAAACAATAATTTTAAAGGGAAGGAACAGTGAAATTTCAACCCTTCGATAATTACGTTGTTAAAAGGGGCCAATTTTTTTACTGGCATTATTTAGGATCTGAATTTATTCTAAATGTATAGTTAAAAATGAAAAAAAAAGTTTCGGCCATTTTAAAAATTTTATTTTTTGAGAAAATCAAAATCTTTTAAGTTATAAAAAAATCGGCAATGAAAATTAATAAAAATTACAAGAGCAATTCAAATTTTTATTTTTTGAAAATTTTGAAAATTTAAAAAAATGTTAACTACCTAATTAAATTTTCTTTAATTTTTCAAAGTATATTATAATTTAAAATACCAAAATTTGTTAGAAAAAACATTAACCACCCATAAAAAACAAAAATTTAGATAAGTTAAAATTTCACACCGGTCCCTCCCCTTAATATTTAAAAGTTTTTTTTACTTATTAACGTTATTTGAATTATAATCTAATATTATAATAATGTTTTACCCAATATGACAAGTGTGTTTTTTGAAAAATTTAGTACGTACTTTATATGGTTAAATTATTTTTTCAAATATTGTTTTTCTTATTGTTGAATTTAAATTTTAGCGCCAGGAAGACGCGCGTGCGCACTGACTTCAAGTTAAACGCCATCTTCGGCTACCTTTCTGAAACAAATAAGCGGTGTGGTTGGCTTTGTTATTTATAAATTGCAAAATTTAACAATAAAAAATGAATTCCATTCGTGTAGTATTACAAAAGAATATGCATCAATTGCGGCAATTTCACAAATGGTAAGCACAAAGTTGTCTTAATTGTTATCACCTTAATTTACAACTTTTATAAAGAAACATAACCTCAATTGTATTCTTTACTATCAAGAATTTTTCTTATTTTTAAAAACCTTAAAAACTAATAGTTAAGTAAGAAGGTATTTATAAATAAGTTAATGTTTAAGATTTACAAATTATAAATGAATTTTAGTCCATTGTCCTTTAATTCAGAATTAGATTAATTATTTATTTTATTATTCTCCTAAAAAATTTGAACATTTTTGTTGTTTTTCTTTCTATATTTGAATTGAATGATACCTATTTGTAAATTATCTTCTTGTTTATAAATTAGGAATTTGTTTTCTTTCTGCTTTTTAGCATTGCTCTTTGCCAAGCAGAAGCTTCTGCTGCCGTTGCGGAAAAAATGACAATTCCAGTACCCGAAGGAGTTGACAAACCAGTTAGTGCTAAAATCGACAAAATTGCCAATGACATTTCCGCATTAAATTTAATTGAAGTTGCAGAATTGAGTGACGTCTTAAAAAAACGATTAAATCTTCCTGATGCACCAGTTATGCCAATGGGAGGTTTTCAAATGGCATCACAGGTAGGAATAAGTAGCAATTATTACTAATTTATTACTAATATAATAATATTTTTAGAATATTTAATATTTTATTCACGCGATTCATTTTCCTGTAGAAAGATGATGAGGAAGCCGAAGCTCCAAAATCCGTACAAACTTCATTTACGGTTAAACTAACTAGCTTTGAGGACAGTAAAAAAGTTGCACTTATCAAGGAAATTAAAAATCTTCTTCCTGGAACAAATCTCGTTCAGGTAATATCATAAATGGAAAAATATTTTGCAATCTTTTTCTAGTTTAATCGCAAAATTTAGTTTTATCAGCTTACTAATACCGAGTTTAATTAATTACAGGCAAAGAAGTTCGTTGAAAGTGTTCCAGTTGTTGTAAAAAGTGATGTATCAAAAGATGAAGCTGAACAATTGAAAGAAGCAATAGCCAAAGCCGGTGGTGTGACAGAAATTTTATAAGTAGTTTTGGTAAATCAAATTTTATTCTACTTGTGTTTAGTAAGGACAAAAAAAATTGTACAATAAAATTAGAAACAAATACATATTATACATTTTTCTATACACTGTATACATATAATGAATAATTATTACTAATTTTCATATAGAAACACCGAAAAGATAAAAATCATTATGCAAGTGTCTTCCAGTATTCAAGAACTAATTATAATTTTTTTTGCAAATACACTTGATATAATTGTCGCATTATCGATAAAATAAGGGGCGTACAAAAAGTGGAAGTACCCCTCTCAACTTTGCCATATTCAAACTTTACCAAAAAAATCTACTATATTGTTCATTATAAAAATAATAATATAAATATTTCCCTCTAAATCAGTTATTTTAAAACTGTTTTTCCGTTTTCTAGTCAAAAGGGAAATATTTTGAAATTCATTAGAAAACTCCTGTTGTGACACTACTGATATTGCCATTTGCCACGATGGCTGAAGAGGTTGAAAACGAAAAAACGACGATGGAAAATATAGTACAGAATATTATTGAGGTTTGTTTATAAATTTTCTTATTGACAAGTGTAAAACTCGTGTGAATAGTGTGTTTGTTTTGTTGGAAGAAGAAGATTTGAAATAAATCCTTTTAAAATTGGTGAGAAATGGAAAATGAAAAATTTTTTGACAGGTCAATGCCGGAGTGACGAATAACGATGTGGGTGCTCTCGAATTTCAAGCATCACAAGTTATATCGCGCCTCGAGGAAGCTGTCGAGAAAGGCACCGAAACAGCTGGATTAAGCTGGAATAATCCATCGGGATTTTTGACACATCCTAAAAGTCCAGAAGAAATTCTTGGATTAATTCAGGTAAATATTATTATTAACAGGAAAATGCCATTTTTGCATTATGATTGGTCGTCAACTATAAACATTGAATTGCAATTGGTTCTTTCCTTTGGTTCAACAAAAAAAATGCATTGTTTATCACGTGGTTACTTTTCATTCATTTAAATTAAATATTGTTAATTGTTTCTATTTTATTTGAATTTCATTTTTAGTCTAAGTTATTTCTATTTACCATTTACGTTAATCGTTAATTTTCGTTTATTGAAATATTTGAGGTTAGGAATTTATATTTTGCATATATTTTTGAATTTTAAAATTATAAATTACAATAAAAAGATACAAATCATGGTTTATAAAAAAATCAAAACAATACGATTTTTTTTATTTAAATAATTTTTTATACTATTTTTTTAATATTTATTTGTAAATAGTTCCTTTTTTTAATATTAACCCTTAAACCGCACACTGCCGAATCCATCCTTAAACCGCACACTGGGTGTGCGACACCCGGGGACTTTTAAGTGTGTTCTCCAAGCTGGAATAGGATATTATCTTTTGGAAAAATTATCTTATATAGCTCAGTACATCTATTTTGAAGGAAAATAAGTTTCATAATGATTTATTTAATTTTAATAATTAAAAAAGAGTTTTTTAAAACTACTGAAATTACCCTAAACCAAAAACTGGGTGTCAAACAAGCAGAAATTTTTCGCCGACAACTTCATAAAGTTATCAAATACACAAAGACACTTGGGAGACTAATGTCCCTCACGGAACATAAACTTAAGTACAAAATGTATCGTCCAATAACGACACATGTTCAATTTTTACGAATTTAACCGAAATATTAGAGTAAAAAGCTAGAATATGGGTGTCGCACACCCAGGGTGCGGTTTAAGGGTTAAAAATTATAAAATTAATAATAGAGTGGCTGCAAAATTTCATTTTCAGAATTCCCTGACTTTTCCTGGCTAATTTTTCGTTTTTTAAATTATTTAATAATCTGCATTGCTAATTAAAAATTTAATAATGCTTTTTTAGTAACAATTATTTATTTATAAAGATAATGAAAATTGTTTGTTAAAAAATTTTTTAATGTGTTTGAATAACCTTGTTTTTTAATTACATATTATATAAATTTTAAATACATATATAAATTCTTGTTATAAAATTTGTTTTAGAAACTTTAGGAATATAAAAATACTGATTGTTCATCTTTCAATAACTTGTATCGAATAAACGAAAACTAATAGTTATTATATTCTGATATTGATTATTTACTTTTTTGAATTGCAGCCCTGGAAAATGGTTGACTAATTCCAGTTTTCTTTCAACAGGATTTAGTGATACACGAAGACGTTCCGCATATAATTGACGATGGAAAAACTGAGACAACGACAAGTCAAGTGGCAAATTTGCCAACATTGACTGACGCGGGAAAATTGACGCTAATCTCTCATTCAATATCTGCTTATGCAGTCGCGTTGCCAAGAAATCATGCTCAAAGATTGGCGGGAAGATTGGCCGCCGATACGACACGATGGTTGAGTCATATTTTTCGTTTCGTCGATTGTGCCTCATCATTTCACGATGATCATCTCGAGGGTTTGGTGCGTGTGACAAAACTCGCTCTTCACAAAAAATATCCCCGTTATATGGAGGATGGATTCTCGACATTTGCATCATCGCCGCCTTTAATTTACAGTTGTGTCTCTGCACCCCTGGGTGTTGCTCAACATTTATGTCGACAGGTTGACTTTTTACTTTCTCTTGAAATGAATCCTCTTGAAATACAACTTGATACGAATTTTCTTTGCAGCTGTCACTGCCGTTCCATTGTATACGTCCAATTCCACAAAATACAATGTTTGGTTCGCGCCACTGTATGGATGTGTCGGCCCTGGAGAGGTGTCTGGCAGAGGATGCACAATCGAACTCAGTGACACCTTTATTAGTTCTGGCCGAAGCTGGCTCTGTATTGACTGGTCATTGTGATAATATTAGTAGACTTCGGGAAATTTGTGATAAATACAATGTCTGGTTGCATCTGCGAGGAAATTCTCTGGCTGCGCTGGCGTTAAGTAATTCTACAAAAGACTTGGTAAGAGTATCAAAAGGTCCGCCAAAACGAAGTGAAATTCAATTTTCCTCTTTATTTTCAGCCTTCGAAAATTGCTGACAGTATCACTTTGCCTCTTGGTATTTGGCTTGGCATTCCATCCCTACCAGTAGTTGTATCCTTTAATTTAATAATTATCTTCTTCTTCTTCTTAGGGGTCGTCCATATACCACGTGGACAGTTTTTCAAAGATTTTTTACCCCCCTCCCCCCTTGTGGACACAAAAATACATGGGATCGTGGACATTTTCAAACTTTTTTTTAACCCCCCCCCCCCAAAGTGTCCACGTGGTATATGGACGACCCCTTATTAAATTTCTTCAATTCCTCAAAATTTCAATTATCTTTATAAATAATAAAATTTTCCTTCGAAATTCAATTGTTTTCAAAAATTTTAATAAAATTCTTGTCAAAATTTAAATTAATTTTAAAAATTTTCCTCAATTCAATGATTTTTAATATCTACTATTGTAATAAAAAATTTTAATAATATTCTACGCAAACATTTAATTATTTTCATAAAATAATAAAAATTTCACAACAATTCAACTATTTACAAATTTTTTATAAATTTCTTCGCAATAATTCCATTACATATTTTCATAAATCTTAAAAATTTTAAAAGATGAGATTGAATTATTTTCATAAAAAATAACATTCTTTTTAGGAATTCAATTATTTTCACAAATAATAACACTCATCGCAGAATTTTAATTATTTTTAATACAATTTTATTCGAATTTCTCAAAACATGTAATTATTCTTACAAATTTTATTAAAATTCGTAAAAAGAATTTAATTACTTAAAAATTAATTGATAAAATTCTTTATAAGAATTGCATTTTTAGAAACATTCAATCATTCAATAAATTATTAATTTTTTTATTTAAATAATTGAGTTCTAATAGAATTTCCTAATAAAAATTGATTTAAAAATGATTTTCAGTTCAAATTTAAGGTTATAATTGAATATTAAAAGCATTATAGCGTAAATTTGTAAAATAATTGAATTTTGAAAAGGTTTTAAAAACACTAAAAAAATTTAATTTTTGAGAAGCTACAAATTATTGTAGAAATTCAATTATTTTTAAGTGTAATACAATTCTTGGAAGAGATTTAGTTATGTTCAAAAATAATAAAATTTTTCTTAGGAATTCAATTATTTTCACAAATAATAAAACTGATAGTAGAATTTCAATTATTTTTGATACAATAAATTTTATTCGAATTTCTCGAATAATGTAATTATTCTTAAAAATTTTATTAAAATTCGTCCAAAGAATGTAATTATTTAAAAATTTGTTGATAAAATTCTTTATGAAAATTTCAATTTTAAGTAACATTCAATTATTCAATAAATTATTAATTTTTGTATTTAAATTAGATAATAATTGAACATTAAAAGCAATATAGCGTAAATTTTTAGAAATAATTGAATTTTGAAAATAATTTTTTTGAAAAAGTTTAATTGAATTTCTTTTTAAATTATTTGAAATTTTTATTAACTTATATATATTTAAGAGCGATTCGATGTCAAGTGATCAAGGTAGAAAAAATTTGTTCTCCAATCGTGCCTAAACTTGGGGCTTTTGTAGTACTAATTAGAGCTGTGCAAAATTCGAACCGAACCGAGTTTAGTTCGGTTTTGGGGCGCCGAAATGTCGAATGTCGAATATTCGACATCCGAACTGGGATAGTTCGAATGTCGGTTTTTCGACATTCGAACTAGGCGAAAAAATTCGAACAGTTCGGTTCGAATTATTTTGCACAGCTCTAGTACTAATAGATAGTAATTTTTGGTGAAAATATTTTTTTACCTAGACAGTCTTTTTTTTTAGTGTTTAAACACTCTAGGCCCACTTTTTCATCTATATGTCCTTATAGAGAAAAACCTCAGCTTTTGTTTAAAAAAAATCGTATCCTTCCCCCCAAAAAAGTCAAATTTATTTCTAATTTTTATTTTTTTAGGTAAAAAAAAATGTTTTTTTGAAAATTCTTACTGACAATCGAAAGAGCATGAAAAAATCTATCGAAACTGAACCTTGACAAATTTTTTTGTTTAAATGTTTAAGAGAAAAAAATTATAAAAATAAGCATTGTACCGTAAAACCCCTTGATCACTTGACGTGGAATAGCTCTTAATTGAAAAAGTTTCGAATAATTAAAATTTCATAAAATTGAATATTGTAAACAAATCAATTTGAAAATTGTCAAAGAACTTTTTCGAAAATGATTAAAAATAGTTGATTTAGAGAAGAATTTTAGTTAAAAATTAATGAAAATAATAAATGAATTGAAATGATTAAAATATTCTTATAATACACAAAAATATCTTCATGTTTTATAGTTATGAAAAAATGTAATTAATAGTTTTAAGTAAAATGTTCTTTTATTTGATTCGGATTTTGACTCGGTAATTGGTCCGTAAAGTCCGTATTCTAAATACTTTGACTGGTTCAAATGTTCGGGGAAAATTTGAAATTGAAGGGAAAAGATTTATTTGTTGATTCCTTAATTAGTGGTGAAAATAGACTTTGTACAGATTAACGGACACGAGAGGTGGACGACCAACGTCTAGAGACACAACTCTGTCACTAGTGTCGGGGTTAATGTTGGACTCGCTGTCAAGACGTTTGCCCACTTTGCCATTGTGGACGGCATTGCAAGCTCTCGGCAGAGAGGGAATTCAAAATAGAATTAGACAGTGCTTCTTGATTGTTGAAGATTTATATAATAAAATTAAGAAATTTAGCTGCATAAGAATACTGGTACGTTAATTTTTAATTTAAAATCTACTTTATGATTTAATATACTGCCATAAAAACTGAATGAATTGAAAAATATTTTTGATTTCCAGAGTCAGCCACCGAGTGGAGAACTCGGAACAGCCACAGCCACCGCCACCCCGCATAACGATTTAGTTCCAAGTCCTGTAAATAGTCATCAATTATTTGAAGTTGTTTCAAGTGCCTTTGTTTTTCAATTTGTTCCAATCGATTATGACGCGGAGTCAATGGAACGAGTTCCAAACTACTATGACAAATTGAATTCCTGGCTGGGACAAATACTCCAAAGAGACATTGATAATGTGCAAATTGAACTTTGTGAAATGGAACAACACGGACTGTTGATTCGCATTTGTCCGCTCGAGAGTCCAGAGAGGCCGCCAACAATCGAGGACGTTGACAATATTGTCGCGTGTCTAGATCAACAGATTGAAATTCTCATCGCCACGGTGCATCACAAGGACACGTTTGTCAAATTGGTGACTGACAACGATTCACTGCATCTGGTGGAAATGACAGGCTGGGCTGGCTTAGGTGGTGTTCGGTACGCACCGCCCACTTGGATTAATGTCATGACCGATCAGACTAAGGAGGAACTTAACAAATTGAATACACAATTGGTGGAGACGCTCAAGAGTACGGATGCTGCCTTTTCGCTCGGTGAAGGCGCAGATGGTCTTGCTTGTGTTCGATTCGGAATGGTTACACAAGATACTGGTAAATAGGAGAAAAATTTATTTTTTTCAGATTTTATATCGTATTATTTATATCGTCATTTGTTTACAGACGTAGCGGAATTGCTCTCTTTGGTACTTCAAGTAGGCCAGGAAGTGGAGGCCAGCTCGAAACTTCTCGATACAATGTCGGAAGTAGTGATAAGAGGAATTGAAGCTGCGCAAACGGATTTGGAACGTGAGAATGCGGAAAAACTGTGGCAAGAAGGAATTTTGAGACACGTTCCCGTTGTGGGAACATTCGTCAACTGGTGGAGTCCACCGGCAAAAGAAGCTGGAGTTCGAGGACGAAGTTTAAATCTCCAAGCCGGTGAGACTTTCTTTTTCTCAAATTAACACAATCAAATTTTAATTTATTTCTTTTCAATTTAGAAATTTATTTACTTAAGGATTCAATTTATTTACGTATCATAGGACTAATTAATCCTTGTTTCTAATTTATTTCTTTTTAATTACATTGTTTCCTTATTAAAAATTTATTTTCTATGTTTATTAAAATCTTGTTGAAAATAATTGAATTTGAAATTTTTTAAAATCTTAATTCCTATGAAAAAATAATAATGAGTAAGTATTTATTTAAAAAAGAAGTTATTGATGTTTTCCAATAGTTTTACAATGAAAGAAATTCGTAAATAAATGTAATAAAATTTTGTCAGGAAATTCAGGGAAAAGTCAAGGATTTTTATTAAAAGTACTAGAAAAATTAAATTTTTAAAATTAATAAAATTCTGCATTTTTGTGTCATTTTTGTCTTTTAAAAAGGTTTTAATTTGAAATTTTATAAAATTTCAATGTTTAATCAATTTAATTAGAAATTTTAAAGAACTTAGATTTTTGAAAAATCTCAATAATTCTAATTCTTCTGAAATTAATTAAATTTTTCAACAAATATTTAACTAATTATTAAAAATAATGGATTTATAGAAGAATTTTAGTTAAAAACACTAAAATAATTGATTTTTGAAGAAGTTACAAATAATTGCAGAAATTCAATTATTTTTAAAACTTTTCCTCAATTCAATGACTTACATATCTACTATTTTAATAAAATTTTCCAAAAGAATTCAATTATTTAAAAAAAAATTTGATAAAATTCATTTACTTTTAAAAATTGCACTAAAATTCTTTGAAACAATTTAATTATTTTCGCAAATATTAATAAAATTCCTTGGAAGAATTCAATTATTTTTATAAATAATAAATTTCTTTGCAGAAATTTCATTATTTTCAAATGCATATTATTTAATATACTTTCTTGGAAGAATTGAATTATTTCTAGAATTTTTAATAAAATTCTGATGTCCAGCAAGAATTGAGACAAAAATCCCCTGACTATTTACTAACCATATTTCTCCTTTCTTAGGACAAAAATATGCATACTAATTTATTTAACAAAAAATTAATATCTAATGATAGTACCAAATAGTGATAAAACCATTTAAGTCCTGTTAGATTAAAATTTTGTTTAATTTACAAAAAATTTCTAGAAATTTCCCTGCTTTTGAATAAAAGTCCCTGACATTTCCTGACTTCTCTGACCGCTGGACACTCTGGACTTATATAATTTCAAAAATGTTCAAAAAAACGTGTTTCTTGCTTTTGAATTCGTTTCAAATTAAAATCTTTGAAAATCTAAATTTTTCAGACATTTAACTAACAATTCTCTATAAATAATTTTTTTGAAAAAGTTTAATTGAATTTCTTTTTAAATTATTTCAAGTTTTTATTATCTACATAATATATATTTAATTGAAGAATTTCCGAATAATCAAAATTTCGTAAAATTGAATTTTGAAAATTCTCAAAGAACTGTCTCAAAAATTTTTTTAAATAATTGATTTAAGGACGAATTTTAGATAAAAATTCTAGAAAATAGTAATTGAATTGAAATGATGAATTTCATACGGTATGAATTTGAAATTTTTGAAAATCTTTTTTCCTATGAAAAAATTTTGCAATTAAAGAAATTCGTAAATAAATGCGATAGAACATTTTTTTGAGTATCTATAATAATTTTTAGAATGAATCAAAATATTTTTTGGGGTCAGGGAAAAAGTTTACATTTTGTCTAGAAATCGGAAAAAGAAAAATAAATTTTTGTGGCAACCCTGTTATTGTTTGTTTCACAGGTGTCGTAGAAAGTACGGAAAATATTTACAAATATCACATGCAACTACAACCGAATTCAAATGCGAGTAATGGTTCAGGAGCAAGAACGCCACCGCAGCCACTGGTTCAAACTCCAGTTGGTGCCGGAAGTCAAAGTCATAGTCGATCATCGAGTCATTCGAGTCTTCAAAGTGGCAAGAACATTCCTTTAACAACAAATGTCGCCTCGTTTCAGACTCACGTTAAGGAGGAATCGATTGAGGTCAAGACTTAGTGATATTTCTGTGATTATCGTGATTATTAACCGTTTTTCGAAAAGAAGAAAAACAATCTCAACATATTTGTAATTTAATTACTGATTTTCTCTAAAGTCAGTATGTACGATTTGTCAATTTTTCTTTTCTTTTTTCTTTTTTTAATTTAAATTTGTAGAATTATAAATATTTCAATTAAAAGCTTTACAGTTGAAAATTTTTCAAAAAAAAGTAAACATCCTTTTTTGAGGATATTAAAAAAAGTTATTATTTTAATCAAGGCTCGAGTACTTTGAAAAAGTAAATTTTTAACACAGTAGAAAGTCTCAAAAAATCACAAAAATTAATTTCATTTTGTAAAAAAAAAGTTAATATGAAAAAATTCTTGGAATTTTTAAATTTTATAATTATTTTTCTATTTAGAAATAGGCAATCTTTTAATTCTTTATCGTTTTCTTTATCAATTCTTTATCATTTTTCTTGTCATTTAAAAAAATTCTATTTAATTAAATTATTTTTACATTCACGGAAATATTTATATTATCCAAGTTAGTTTTTAAATTAGTTTGATTACAATTTCTATTAAAGAAAAATTATTCACTGTTTTAAAATCCATTCGAATTTATACTTGTAATTTAATATTGTTTTTTGTTAATATTTAATTTTGTTACAGTTAAGATATTTTTTTTCTATGAAATAATTAAACTATGTTTTTCATTTAAGATTTTTAGCGACTAAGTGTAGGTATAATTTTTAGTCTTCACATGTCAATTTTTTATGTACAGTTATTGAAAACTAGTGGAAAGTAAGTGAAGAACTCAGTATTAATTTTTGAGAATTTTCGAGCTTTCAGAAATTTAATTTTTTCACTTCTTAAAATTTTATTGATTTGATATTGTTGGAATGCTCGATATAAATTGGGACAAAATTTATTGGAAATTAAAATTATACATGACAAAAAGACCTAAAAGGTAACGAAAATGTTTCTTGGCAAATTCGAAATTTTTAAACGCATAAATTAGAATTAGGAATTAAATTCAATACCAGCGACAAAGTTTAAAAATTTATATATTGTTATTACACATAGTTAATCAAGAAATAATAGGCCCTAACTATGTATATTTATGTACCAAATTTGTTGTAATAAAGTATTAGTAATTAAATATTTTATGGTTATTTATTTCAGTCTAATGGCAACTGTAGGTATTGTTGGTATTGTTTGAAAATAATCCTTACGTTATAATATTTGTTGGCCCTGAAAAGGGCCGATTGATGTGTTTTTTTTTAGCTGTCAGGAGGAATATTTAGCCGCCGAATCCATAAAGTGTGCGTCCTTGTCGTTTAAGGGCATAAACAACATCCATTGACGTCACTGTTTTCCTCTTAGCATGTTCGGTATATGTTACTGCGTCACGGATAACATTTTCCAAAAATACTTTTAATACACCGCGTGTCTCTTCATAAATTAGGCCCGAAATACGTTTGACTCCACCACGACGAGCAAGACGACGAATTGCAGGTTTCGTAATACCCTGGATATTATCACGAAGAACTTTGCGATGACGTTTTGCTCCTCCTTTTCCCAAGCCTTTTCCTCCTTTACCACGACCAGACATTTTTTCTCGGCGGCAACGGTGAATACAGTATAACAAGTGTAACACGAAACTACGTAAATGACACTTTTCGAGGATTTCGCGATTCTTTTATACTCCCCACAGACAGTTTTTCCCTCTCCCATGTTCTATTGTCCAATCAGCGATTTCCAAGTCCCCACCACTTGATTTTCAAGCAGAGACCTATAAAAGGCGTATGAACGCGTGCGATCCTTTCAGAAAACAGTCTATTTTTGGGAATTTATAAATTTTGTAAATTTTGTAAATTTCGAACGGCTCTATGGCTCGTACAAAGCCATAGAGCCCAAACTGGGGGTAAAGCTCCCCGGAAACAGCTTGCCACTAAAGCTGCAAGAAAAAGTGCACCGGCAACGGGAGAAGAGAAGAAGCCGCACAGATACAGGCCTGGAACTGTTGCTCTCAGGGAAATTCGTCGGTATCAAAAAAGTACCGAACTTTTAATTCGAAAATTATCATTCCAACGTTTGGTTCGTGAAATTGCTCAGGATTTCAAGACAGATTTACGTTTCCAAAGTTCAGCTGTCATGGCGCTACAAGAAGCTAGTGAAGCCTATTTGGTTGGCCTTTTCGAAGATACAAATTTATGTGCTATTCATGCTAAACGAGTCACAATTATGCCAAAAGATATTCAATTAGCTCGTCGTATCCGGGGAGAACGTGCTTAAATTTGATTACTCCTTTCATTCCTCAAAAAAAAAAAAAAAGAAAACAATCGGCCCTTTTCAGGGCCACCAAATACTTTTTACGAAGGATATAATATTTTTCAAACATAATTAATTTTTAAATAAATAGGTACTGTATTTAAAAGTTTCATTTTTATTAATCTTCTATGGAATTATTCCTAAAGGTTTGCTAATTATATTTTTAGATAACATTGTTTTCAATATTTTACTATACAATTCAAATTCAAATTATTTTTCAAAATTTATTTTCCCAAAATGATAAAATTTATAATGTAGGTATAAATTATATTTTTTTATGATACTGTGATTATTAAGAAAAAATAATTATTTACAATTACAATTTAATTATATATGTAATAATTATTTATAATTTTATTATTTAAATATTAACAAGGAAATAATGTTTTGCCGTAGCTTACAAATTGAAATTAATTTCGCAAAATTATCTATAATGACAGATAATGGAATGTGTTTTATTTCAGGTTAATTATATTAAAAAATTTAATTATTTTATACTCAAGTTTAAGTTGAATATTTTTATTTTGAAAATTAATAATTTTATTATTGTAACTAATAATTTAAATTTTGTAAATAATTTTACTTTTAATTATACAACTTATTTCATAGTTATTATTAATTTATACTTAATGTTCACAGAAAAAAATGCGAATGGTAAAAACAACCACATTTGTAGAGACACCATTTTGTTGCAATGAAAATTTTGAAATTATGCAATAAAAACCTAAATATTATGCAATAATTATGCGATGAAAATAAAATCATGCAATGACGCATGGTTAGGCTTAATTTGTATATAATAATTTTTAAATGATTTTAATATAGTTAATAAATAATTTTTAACCTAAAAACAATTAAATGAACAATAATAGAAGTTTAACTTTGGCATCAATCGTGTATTTTGGAAAATTGTTACATTCTTAGTTAAGAAAAATTCATTTGGAACAGCGATAATTTTCTCTAGAATAGCGAATGTTTTAACTGAAATTAATAAAAAATTCACTAATATAATGAAAATTGTAGTTGCTCCAAGTAAAATTTTTTCCCGTGCATAAAGTTATTTTTATAATTAAGTAAAATGTAACATTCTTTTTTAACGCATTTTATATTATTGTCAGGGACCGATTCTGAAACGAAACTAAATTCAAAATTTACGTTCAATTTAATTTAGTTTCGTGTCAATTCAAAACTAAAGTCCGATAAACTTAAATATTTAGTGTCAGTAAAAAAATTACTAAAAAAACGAAATATTTCAATATTTAATATTGATGAAAGTTAGATTTACTTTTTCCACTTTATTTTCTATTGAAGTCTCTTTATACTGCTTTATATCTAGTATTAAAGTTATAATAATATTATTACTTTAAATATTTTGTTTTTTGCTGTGATTTTTTAATTAAAACTAAGTAATTGAGTTTCTCAGACACTTGTTTTCGATCTGCACTGAAATAAATTTAATTTTTTTAGTTTAGTTTCGTGTCGACTCGAAACTAAATTAATATTGTAGTTTCGAGTCGACACGAAACTAAATTCAGTACGTTAATTTAGTTTCGAGTCGACACAAAATTAAACTCAGTTTGTTAATAATTTAGTTTTGTATCAATCCCGAAACTAAAACGAAACTAAACTTTCGTAACGGTCCCTGATTTTTTTATTAAAAACTTTTAATCTTTTTAAAATGTAAAATTTTCTTTATAGAAATAAGTAAAGTAACGAGATCAGTCTAGAAATTGGTTTAAATCGTCTCAAAAATATAAACTTAGCATAGTCTCTGCATTGACCGGGAAGTAACAACGTTTAAAAATTTATTAAAATCATAAAAAAGATACTTTATAGTATTTTTAAACAAAAAATTAACAATTATGCGATGATTATGCAAATAGTGTTAAATTATGCAATGAAAAAAAATTATGCACTGAAAGTATAATTATGCAATTGGATGCGATCACAAATCACATTTATTTTGTATGAATTCTTAATAATTCACAAAATACAGAAATTATGCTCAGTTTGAGAACATTATGCGATTATGCGACTTGCATAAAATATGTGTCTCTACACATTTGTGTAGTCAGAAAAAAAGTAGTTAAAACTACCATATTCAGCAGCATTTTAACTACACTGAAAAAAATACATGAGACATTTTCAACTACATCCCCTTAGTAGAGTAAAAAGTAATAAAACGAACTACTTTTTTAGTTGGTCTGGCTACTTTTGATACTTATTTTAACTGTTTTATGTAGTTAAAAATTATTAATTAAATTAATGTAATTTTACAGTTAACTTTGTAACTGCAGGTATGTTATAGAAATGACTACAGAAAGTAGTAGATTCTACTACTTAAAGTAGTTCGATAGACTAATTTTGTAGTAGTTTTTACTTCTTCTAGGAGTTGAATTATTTTCCATGTAATTTATGTTATAGATTTTTATAGAAGATTATCAACTGTGAAAAGTTGTAAATGCAACTACTTTAAGTAGTAAAATTAACTACAGTTATCAGTTGAACTGTGTCTGGAATGCCTATAAGTATTAAGCAACTCATCGAAGCGAGCGAGCGTGGTTAGGTGGTTAGGTTATCGGTTTACGAATGTTAGGGTCGAGCGTTCAACTCCCGACGCTTAGAGATTTTTCTCCGTTAGGTATATAGACATTAAGTAAATAAGGTATAGGTAAACAAAAGTGGGTAGGGGGAAATATAAAAAAATACAACTCGATAATATTTATAATAAATAATTTTATTTTACCATTTTCAGTAGTTACTTTATTACTGAGTTATCTTAGTAACTTTAACTACATATCAGCAGTTAATTCTACTGCAAAACTGTCATTGGTTCCTATTTAACTAAGAAAAGTAGTTAATGCAACTGTATTATCACTTCATTCAACTACATATCTGATAATTAATGTAAGTTCAAAATTATCTTTGGGGACTTATTGAACTAAGGAAAGTAGTTAAAAAGTAGTCAAATCTACTAAGAATTTTTTTCAGTGTACACTTCCTCAGTTAGTGGAACCAAAATGAAGTATAGATGAATGAATAGTTAATTTTACTATTGTGGTAGCAAAAATAACTATTTTGTATTAGTTGCAAACAAAATGAGACTTACTGTTTTTATACAGTAAATACAACCTCTGAAAGTTGTTACTTTTATGATTTATGTAGTCAAAACAACTATTTCTTACTAGTTGCAGAGAAAGAAAGAAATTTACTGTTTTCATATATAGTAAAATCAATTGTTGAAAATAGTTATTTTTACTATTTATGCAGTTGAAAAGATCATTTTTTTCTACAGAGAAAAAACGTGAGTGGTAAAAACATCCACATATGTGCAGTTAAAAAAATGTAGTTAAAACTACCATATTTAGCAGCATTTTAACTAAACTTCCATAGTTAGTGGAACTAAAATTGAATAGTTGGTTTTATGTAGTTAAAATTACTACTGCACGTTATGATTGTGAATAACTCAACAATAGTGCAGTAGTTAAAAGTACTGTTAAAGATAGTTATTTTCAGAATTTCTGTAGTAGAAATATCCATTTCTTGCTATTTGCAAAATATAAATTAAAACTTACTGTTCCAAAGAGTAAAAACAACCGCTGGAATTTGTTATTTTTGTTACTAGCTTTTAATAATTTATCTCTATGGTGGTAAGAAACATTTATTTTTATAACTACAAAAGTCATAAAAGTAACAATTTCTATGTTATTTTTACTATATGAAAATAGTAAGTTTAATTTTTTTGTGACTAGTAAAAAGTGGATAATTTTACTACAGAAATTCTGAAAATAACTATTTTCAACAGTACTTTTAACTACTGCACTATCGTTGAGTCATTTAAAATCATATGCTGGCTACATTTCAACTAAGTCCTTGAGCTTAAAAAATTAGTTACTGCAACTAAACGGAGTAGTTATTATGACTGAATCTAAGAAGAATGTCCTCAAGTACAATGCCAGTCATCGTAGCGTGCGAGCGTGGTTAGGTGGTTAGGTTATCGGTTTGCGAATGTTAGGGTCGTGCGTTCAATCCCCGGCGTTTGGGGATTTTTCTCTGTTAGGTGTATAAGAATTTAATATATAAATTATATATGAACAAAAATAGGTAAGAGAAAATATAAAAAAATGGACCTCAATAATAATAAAAAACAAATAAATAATTTCATTTTACTACTTTAAATAGTTAATTTAACTATTTTTTACAGTTGTTACAACTACAATTTGTTACGGGCGCCTATAGGAACTATGAAAATTTAGTTACTACAACTAAATGAAGCAGTTAGTATGACTAACAACAAATAGTTAAGGTAACTGTTTTAGTAGTTAAATTTACTGTAAAAATGGTATTTATTACTACATTTTACAGTTAGACTAACTATTCTGTCATAGTTCATTTTACTAAATAATGTTACGGGCGCCTATAGGAACTACATGAAATAGTAAAAAAGTAGTCAAATTTACCATATTTTTTTTTGTGTTGTATCTATAGTTTACTTTTTTAATTATTAAATTAATTTTCTATTTAATATAAAAATTGATAAAGATTAATTTTTTTGTGCAACACCTGCTGGAAAAGAGCTACTTTTCTTTAACATAAATGCAGCACAAAGTATAATATACACTATAATCAACATAAAACTATATTTATTGATTAGAAAAGTATAAAAATTACTTTTTTCGGTTATCAGGTGTTGCACAAAGTACTGTGTGCAACACGTACGAAAGAAGATTTTCCAACTTCGTGCAAATTACTGCCCTCGCTTCGCTCGGAGCAGCAAACTTTGCACTCGTCGGAAAACAGCTTCTTTCTGTACTTGTTGCACAATATACTATTGTAGGGTAAGTGCACTAATTCCTGCGGCATTCCAGCCAATATATCTATTGCATAGGAAAAAAAATATTTATAGCAAATGAATCAAATTAAAAATTTATTAAACTAATTGTTTGTATTCTTAAGAAATTTTTACAACAATTAATAGCCTATAAAATTACAGCATTTGATTAAATTTAAATAATTAAAAAGAGTATTAAAAGCGTCTAATCCTGCGCGCTGTGTCAATAATTGCTGCGGCCAAAATAACATGCATTTAGATGTCATTTTCCCAGCAGCAACTAAAGCACATGCATTTCACATGACTGTTTCAGATTCTGCGGTAAGCAGAATTTAAAGTTAAATAATTAAAATAATTTTATTTTAAATGTATATCTTTATAGACAATTATTGTATCAAGTAGGTAAATTCTTTTTAGAAAAATTTAATAAATTATATTTAATTATTAAATTAATTTTCTATTTAATATAAGAAATGGTAAAAATTAATTTTTTTGTATATTTATTAAAATCAAATTAAATTATTGTTAACGTTTTTAAGAAAAATGTAATAAATTATATTTCAATAAATTAAATTAAATATTTCGTCACGTGCTAAATTATTGAGAATTGATTTCACGTTTTTGTGTACATTTTAAATTTATACGATATCATATAAAGTACAAAATAACTTGAAACCGTTACCAAGGTCATTTTTGTTTTGTGAATTATCTTTATGTGGGCTAATTATATGAAAAATTGTGTTGTAATATTTCACAATAATTTGTACCTGAATATATGAAATAAAATATGCAAGAACAGCTAAAAAATTTATCGCATTATAATAATATAAGCACTTTTATATTCATGATAAATAATATTAATAAATAGAAAATATTCATAATTATCCTGATCTCTGTCCCCGAATAAAATTGTAATTTACGAATAAAAATTATATAAGACTTATAAATTGATTTTGATAAATAATTATTAACAAATTTTCTTGAATTAAATTTTTTTAATTTTACTCACTTTTGTGTTCTTGTTATTTTTTAAATATAGAATTTATTTCGAATTTAAAATAAAATAATTTATGAACGAAAAATACGAAAAATACAGTAAGGACTTTCTTCACCGTCCGTGCATCAGAGTTTATACGTTGCCAAGCGACATTCAACTATTATTCATGTGATATCTCTCGAAGGAGGATCATCATATTGCTAAAGAATTTAAATAGCAATTACACATAAAAATTAAAAATAAAAAATGACTGAAGTACTTACCCCAGTTGGGGCTGCTAAGGCATCCCCAAAAAAATCCAGTGCATCGTCGAAGACTAAAACAGTGAGATCAAAACCAAATCATCCAAAAACTTCCGAAATGGTGACAGCCGCAATATCAACTCTCAATGATCGCAGTGGTTCATCATATCAAGCAATTAAAAAGTACATTGTCGGAACATACGCAATTGATTTGGATAGACTCACGCCGTTCATAAAAAAATATTTAAAAAGTGCAGTTGAACAAGGTGATATAATTCAAACCAAGGGAAAGGGAGCTTCCGGATCTTTCAAGCTAGGGGCAAAATTAAAAGCAAAGCCAAAGAAGACGACACCATCGAAAGTGAAAAAAGTTGAGGAAAAACCAGTTGTTAAAAAATCAAAAGCAACGAAAACTACATCTGCGGAGAAGAAGAAGACTGCTGCAGTTGCTGCCAAGAAGTCACCTGTCAAAAAGGTCAGTTCCACGAAAGTGAAAATTGCAGTACCTAAGAAGACGGTGGCAAAGACAAGTGCGGTAAAATCTCCGACGAAAAAAACGGCAAAAGCTCCAACTTCGAAGCCAAAAGCTCCTAAGCCAAAAAAGATTACAGCGAAAAAAACCGTTAAAACTGCCGCTAAGTAAATAGAAGATAGAAGCGATGATTTAATTGCTATTATTAATATATATGTATAAATAATTTTAAAAAGCCGTATTCAATCGGCCCTTTTCAGGGCCACAAAATATTTTTACGTATTAATAGAATTTGTTCTTTTCAAAACATAATTCAAATTAATTATTAATTAATTCAAAATTTATTCATTAAATTAATAAATAAACTAGTAAAACTACACACGCCCAAGCGCGCGTGAAATTATCGTTACGGTTGATGCTTCACAAAAATTTGCCTTTTAAAATTTAATAAAAATTCCACAGGAATTAAAATTTCAAATAATTTCAATGAAAAAGCTCATGAAATTTAATTATATTTAAAAATTGCCTTAAATTTTCAAAGAATTTAATTTTAAAATCTTTTAAAAGTTAATTAATTCCTAAAATTTCGGTTATAACGCTTTAAATATTCAATTATTTTTTTAAATTTTAACTGAAATTTTTTTTAAATCAATTTATCCACGAGAATTGAATTATTTAAATAGAATAAATTATGTAAATTTATAAAATAATGTATTTTCAAAAATACTTAATTTAATAGATACTTAATTCTTGAAGAATTTCCAAATTAAATTTTTTAAATTTTAATCATTTTTGTAAAATAAATATTTAAATACTTATTGTTCTTTATTTGCTTAAAATTTCGAATTACTTTCAATGTAAAACCATTTGAAAAATTGTATATGAAAATTTGAACTGCAAGTCTTTCCAAAATTCAATTAGTTTTTTAGAATTTTTGAATAATATTATTCAAAACTTTTAATTTTTAAAGAAGCTAACAAATTAATAATTTTTTATATTTAAATACTATGATACTTTTACAGCAATTACAATTTCAAAAATTGAAAATTTGAAATTTCAAAACTTTTTGACTTTTGACATAACAATTCGAACTATAAAACAAAACATTGGAATAAAACAATACTAACTTCAGGTGAGGACAAATTATTATTATTATTATTATTATTATATAATAATTATTTAATTTAATAAATTACCAAATATTTCTTCAACATGAAATTAGTTCAATTAGTTCAAATTAGTCGAAACCTAATTTGTTCTTATCAAAATATATTCAAATTAATTATTTATTTTAAATATTTAAGTCTATTTAATTAGTTTTAAAATAATTAAAACCCTCATAATTTGAATTAGCATAAAAATAGTAATAATTTTATATATATATATTATATAATTTATTATTATAAATAAGATTATTAACCATTGCAGGGCTCGAACTAGGTCCGTAAATCCCGTAAATGTCCGTAAATTTGTTTGAAGTCCGTAAAAGTCCGTTTTTTTTAAAAAAAAAGGTCCGTAATGTCCGTAATTCTATTGAGAAAAGGCGAAAAGTTTCTAAATTCTACGATATAATTTGGAAAATTTTAGAGAAATTGCAAATGATTGCAAAAATTCAATTATTTCCAAAAGTAATAAAATTCTTCGCAGGCATTCAATTATGTTCAAAAAATTTTTTAAATTCTCGTCAAAATTTCAATTATATCTTTAGAAATAATTAAATTCTTCTCCAAAATTCAATTACTTTAAAAAAATTTAATAAAATTTTTGGCAAAATTTCAATTATTTTTAAAAACTTTAATCAATAATTCAATATCAGGGTGTCTACTATTTTTCAGTTTTTGAATTCCCGGTTATTTCCCGGTTTAAGATATTAACGTTTTTTTCACTACAAGTATATGATAAAGCATATAACACCTTAAATATTAATGTATAAGTGATAATTTAATATTAATCATAATAAAAAAGTATAAAACAAAAATTTAAAGAACCTAAAAATTTGTTTTTATTTATAAAATAACACCGTTTCATTGTCAATAAATAATTACACTTGAAAAGTATTCAGAATTTTACGTAAAATTTATTTTTAAATTATTTAATACCGTACAGGATTTAACAATTGAACCTCATTCTAAGTAAATCTTTTAAACATTTTAGTAACACTTTATAAATAAACCAGAAATTAATTTTTTAATTTCAAACACAAGAAAAATTATTTCCTCTAATACTCAATGCTGAGGTAAAATTCTCCGAACAAAAGATTTATTTTTCAAATAATTAAAATTTTAATTAAATTTAAATTTAAATTAAATAAAATTAATTAATTTTAATTTAAATTTTAAATTAAAATTTTTAATTTAAAATAATTTAATTAATTAAATTAATTAATTAATTAATTAATTAATATTAATTAATATTAATTATATTAATAAAAAATTAATTATATTAATTAATTAATTTAATTAATAATAAAATAATAATAATAATAATAATAATAATAATAATAATTAATTAATTTTATTAATTTATTAATTTAATTTTTTTTTAATTAATTTTTATATTAATTTATTATATTATTAATTATATTAATTATATTAATTATTTTATATTATTATTATTTAATTAATTAATTTAATTTTTAATTTATTTTAAATTTTAAATTTTTAATTAATTTTAATTTAAATTTTTTAATGACCTGATATATCGACCAATGATAGTTGTTTCCTTACATAGTACACGATTTCATAAAAATTTTATTTAGAAATTTCGTTTCCCGGCTATTTCCCGGTTAGTAGACACCCTGAATATATTTAACTATTTTAAAAAAATTGCCCAAAAGAATTCAATTATTTAAAATAAGTTTTAATAAAATTCTACGAAAATCTTTAATTATTTTCATATAATAATAAAAATTTCACAAGAATTCAATTACAAATTTTTTATAAATTTCTTCGCAATCATTCAATTATTTTCATAAATAATTAAACTACTCATTGCAGCATTTCAATTATTTTTAATACAATTTTAATCGAATTCGTCGAAAAATGTAATTATTCTTAATTCTTTATGAGAATTCAATTTTAAGAAATAAGCAATTATTCAATAAATTGTTTTTTTGTATGTAAATAATTGAATTCTAGTAGAATTGTCTAATAAAAATTAATTTAAAAATTAATTTCAGATACAATTTTAGATTATAATTGAATATTAAAAGGAATACAGCGTGAATTGTTAGAAATAATTGAATTTTGAAAAGGTTTCAAATTAAAATCTTTGAGAATCTGAATTTTTCACATTTTCAACTGTGGAATTAATTTTTTTGAGAAAGTTTAATTGCGGATTTTCTTTTTGAAATTATTTCAAGTTTTTATTCAGTGATATATATTTAATTTATTGAAGAATTTACAAATAATTAAAATTTTGTAAATTTGAATAATAAAATTCTTCTTAGGAATTCAATTATTTTCACAAATAATAAAACTCATCGCAGAATTTCAATTTTTTGTAATACAATTTTAATCGAATTCCACGACAAATCTAATTATTCTCTTAAAAATTTTATTAAAATTCGTCGAAAGAATTGGATTATTTCAAAATTTATGTTGATAAAATTGTTTATAAGAATTTTAAGAAACATTCAATTATTCAGAAAATTATTGAATTATTTTCTATTTAAATAATTGAATTCTAGTAGAATTTTCTAATAAAAATTTATTTAAAAATGAATTTCAGTTAAAATTTTAGATAATAATTATTGAATAGGTATTAAACGCCTGTTTTAGAAATAATTAAATTTTGAAATTAATGTTTTTGTATTTTTTTAAGTTTTTATTTTCTAATATATATTTAATAAAATTGAATATTGTAAAGAAATCGATTTGAAAATAAATTGTCAAAGAACTTTTTCGAAAATTATTAAAAATAATCGATTTAAAGAAGATTTTTAGTTAAAACTTCTTGAAAATAATAATTGAATTGATAATGATTTTATCACTCGGTCATTAATTAATATATATATATATATATATATATATATATATATATATATATATATATATATATATATATATATATATATATATATATATATATATATATATATATATATATATATATATATATATATATATATATATATATATATATATATATTATGAACAAAACATGAGGAAATCGATCACTCCAAGTGATCGATATCTTCTAGAGCTGTGCAATTCGATTCGAACCGAGTTCGAGCTCTGCCATTGTTTCTGAAGAAAAATAAAACCAACGTTTCGAAAATTTGTTGGCCCTGAAAAGAGCCGATTGTTATGTGGGTCTTTACGTAAATACTTGGGCTTTAAACTTTTTTCTCAGTTTTCTTTGGAAGAAGGATTGCTTGAATATTCGGTAGAACGCCACCTTGAGCAATTGTGACACCGCCGAGTAGTTTATTCAATTCCTCGTCATTTCTTATTGCCAACTGAAGATGTCTTGGAATGATTCTCGATTTTTTGTTGTCTCTCGCAGCATTTCCAGCCAATTCCAATACTTCAGCGGCTAAATATTCAATGACAGCTGCCAAATAAACGGGCGCACCACCTCCTACTCGTTCGGCATAATTTCCTTTCCGCAAATGACGATGAATTCTTCCCACTGGAAACTGAAGCCCAGCACGATTTGAACGTGTCATTGATTTCACCTTCGCTTTACCACCTTTATTACCACGTCCAGACATTATTAACACCAAAGCAAAACAATTTAGATCGTATAAACACTCAAAACCACTGTCCGGTTGTCTAAGTGTAAATGAATGCTCAACCAGTTCTGCCAATATTTATATGGAGATCTCCAGTAAGTAGCCCCTCCAATCAAAATATAGCTTTCATTTTACTCGACGCTCATTGGTTGCGCTCTCTTTCCCAGTAAGTCCTTAAAAGAAACACGAACGGCGCTTTTGGAATCATTCGACATTCGTGTCTCGACCTCGCTACGAGTCAGTCGCAAAAATAAATCTTTAACGTAGAACGTTCTTTCGCAAATCTGTCCTTTTCAGGACTAACCAACCAGCAATACTGGTCCTTAGGGACTAGTATCACCATGGCAAACACCTCTATGGATACTCAACATGGCCAGACTGTGAACTCAAGGGAACAGCATCTTGTTGAAGAAATCAAGTCACTTCACCTGCATATCAAAACACTTTCTCAGCAAAACAAGGAACTTGCTGATACTGTTTCGATCCTGACTGCCAAGATAGATGCTAGAAACCTCCTTGATGCCGAAGACTCTGATCTCTCATCTTGTGAATCCGCCATCTCTACACTTTCAACTTCTCCAAGGAAACGTAAGAAAAAGAAAAAAAAGTCATCACACTCCGTAAACAGCCAAACTAACTCTAGACACACACAACCTCCACCTCTTGCCAATAAACTACCCTCTCCATTAGCTACTGACCAAATGGACACTCACGATCCATCAACAACTACAGACTCGACTAAACCAAAGACAGAAAGAATCCCTCCTATAATTCTTCACGACAAAGAAAAGTGGCTCAAAGTTACTCAAATTATGAGAACTCTAAAAATCAACTACACAAAAGCAACAACTACTGCAGAAGGTATTCGCATCATCTTCGACTCTTCCGACGACTTCCGTAAGTCAATAAAACTCTTCGGTAAAGAAAATCTCCAATATCATACCTGGCAACTGTCATCCGAAAAACTACTCCACATTGTACTCCGGGGCATTCCTGAACCAATTGAAACTGATGACATCAAAGAAGAACTCCAAGATCTCGGCTATCATCCAGAAACCGTCTTAAGAATGAAACGCAGAAAAGACAAGACACCAATTCCACTTGTACTTATCACTTTGCCAAAATCTGAAAAGCACATCTTTCAATTAAATCGCCTTGCCAACGTCGTCATCACTGTTGAGAGTCAACATCAAAAGGCCACCATCGGACAATGTCACAGATGTCAACGCTTTGGACACGCTCAAAGTCGTTGTACTGCTCAACCTCGCTGCGTTTACTGCTCAGAAGATCACCACACGTACGACTGTCAAAATAAAAATAGTCAATCAAAGAAGAAATGCTGTAACTGTGGTGAAGATCACACCGCATCATTCAAAGGTTGTAAAAGCTGGCCAAAACCCAAAGCTGAACGTGAACGAAGACCAAGAGCTCCTCCAGATTCTTTTGCTGACGCTGTAAAAACTAACAATGCCGAGACCAATTCTTGTGACAGTGAATCACAAGTACCCAAGGACAACCTGACTCTGACTCAACTCTTTACTAAGTTCAACTCTATGTACACCCAGATGCAGGATCTTGCTACACAACTAGGCAAAATGTTTCAAGGAAATCAACAAATACAACTAAAATGTCTTTAAAACTCCAAGACAGTTTAAAAATTTGCTATTGGAACGCAAACGGCGTTTCTAACAAAAAACAAGAACTCCTAAACTACCTTAGTGAACACAATATAGACGTAATGCTTCTTGGTGAAACCTGGCTCAAAAATAGTACTAATCTCAAAGTTCCAAACTACATTACTTACAGGACTGATCGACAAACTCAACCACACGGAGGTACGGCAATTCTTATCAAGAAACATATCCCTCATAACCTACTACAATCACATGATCTTCAAATTGAAAACACATCTGTGGAAGTACAAAGATCCTTTGGACCAATCCGCCTCATCTCTGCCTACTGCCCACCAAACAAGAAAATTCTTGAAGCAGATCTGGACATTCTTTTTACGTCTCATGTAGAAACACTACTCATGGGAGATCTGAATGCCAAACACACTTTCTGGAAGTGCAATTCAATTAACTCTGCTGGTAGATCCCTTCTGAAATACTACTTCAAGAACGATATCCAACTACACACTCCAAGCCAACCAACGCACTACTGCACAAATGGAAGACCAGAAATACTTGATATAGGAATCTCCAAAAACATCCTCAGCAACATTGATCTTGATGTAATACAGGATCTCAGCTCCGACCACAATCCCATTCAAACGACTCTCCTCGGTAATCTACAAGTTAAACCACTCATGACAAAATCTATCACTCAATGGACACGCTACACACATCATCTCAAAAACAACATGACAAACATAAATAGACTGAATACAATACAAGACATTGACAGTGAAATACAAACCATTACACAAGAAATCGAGGCTTCAACACAAATATGCACAAAAGTTATCTCAGCTCATACAAACAACATTATTATTCTTCCAACTGAACTAAGACAGCTAATAAAAGAAAAAAGGAAAGCCCGCAAGAAAGCACAAAGAACGTGTCACCCTGAAGATTACGCAACAGCTACCAGACTAAACAACACACTTCGATCTAAACTACGAGAATTCCATACCAACAACTGGAATACAAAAGTAGAATCACTCTCCACTGATCGTGCAGGCATGTGGAAAATGATAAAATCACTAAAAACAAAACGCGAGATAATTCCACCTCTACAGGGAACGCAAGGAATCGGTTACAACAACAGTGACAAAGCTGAGATCCTTGCAACAAGTATTGAAAAACAATGCACTCTCAACGAACGGACAATTCACACTGACGAGACAGACATTCTTGAGGAAGAAATCATTAACTCCGTTAGGCAAATAGACGACTCTCCACTTGATCCAATAGACACTTCGACACTTCAGGAACTGAATATATACATCAAGAAACTGAAGAACAACAAAGCACCTGGATGTGACGCTGTCTCCAACCTCCAAGTCAAAAATCTACCTCGCAAGGGGAAGGTTAAACTTCTCAACATCTTCAATGCTTGCCTTCGACTGAACTATTTTCCAAGTCCATGGAAAATAGCTCACATCATCACGATTCCGAAACCAGGCAAGGACCACCATCGACCTGAGAACCATCGTCCCATCAGTCTTCTTCCTGTCTTCTCAAAACTTTTTGAACGCATTATCCTTTCCAGGTTGATGATCCAAGTGACTAACTTGAACATACTGCCTCCAGAACAATTCGGTTTTCGTACTAAACACTCAACAGTCCAACAAACACTCCGACTAGTAGAAACAATCCATGACGGCTTCTCACACAAGGACTCAACTGCCATAGCCTACCTAGATGTTGCCAAAGCTTTCGATAAAGTTTGGCATGAAGGACTGATTCACAAACTTGCCACAGCGGGAATAGCCTCCAACTTAACCAAAATAATTCGCTCCTTTCTTCAGAACAGAAGCTTCAGGGTCAAACTTGAAGACGACCTCTCTTCAATCAAGCCTCTTCAATCAGGAGTTCCTCAAGGTTCAGTTCTTGGACCTATACTGTACAACCTCTACACTTACGACATACCAGAAAACAACTACTCAAAGAAAGCACTATTCGCAGATGACACTGCTATCATTGGTCAATCACGCTGCCCAGCACTAACAGTTAAAAGACTACAAGATGCCCTGGATGAAGTCACCGACTGGATGGATACATGGAGAATTGCCATCAATAAAGAAAAAACCCAAGCTGTCTTCCACACCACTAGGAAAGTAAAGCCTCCCGAAAAGATCACAGTAATTGACAAATCAATTCCATGGTCAAATTCAGCAAAATACCTGGGAATTCACATTGACCGTCAGCTAACTTGGTGCACACATACTAACCAGATTAAAAAAATTGGTTTCATAGCAATGAAATCGCTTAGTTGTCTGTTCAAGAATCCTCACTTAAGTTGGACAACCAAGAGACTTATATTTCTCTCAGTCATACGTCCTGCTATAACTTACTGTATAGCCACATGGGGATCTGCTGCCAACTGCCACATCAAGAAAATCCAAACTATCCAAAACAAGTTCCTGAGGATGATAACGAACGCTCCATGGTTCGTGACCAACGATCAACTACATAGGGATCTCCAAATTCCTACGGTGCGCAAATACGGACGAGATTTAGCAATTAAACTCTTCCAACAAGTCGAAAATCACGAAAATATCCTGCTAAACAACATACTTGACTACAATCCAAAAGACTGCCGTCCTAGAAAACGGCGCCCCCGCATAGTAGAAATACTTGACGTGGGCCCAATCTAAATCCTACTAAGTTCATCTTCTATGATATAACTCACTTTTCATTATCCGACATCAAAGGTAAAGATGCCCATTGCATCAACCTAATCATCAACTAGAGATCAAAAGCAAAAAGTTTGGAATCATTCGTTTTCTGTGTCTTATCGCGAGAGCACGCGAGAGTGTTACCTGAAACAAAAACAAAATTTTCTCAAATTGAAAAATGGCTTCTAAAACAAGTGGAAAAGCAGAGAAGAAGTCTGGTAAGGCTCAGAAGAGTATTTCCAAATCTGACAAGAAGGTGAGGCGTAAGAAGAGGAAGGAGAGCTACGCAATGTACATTTACAAAGTTTTGAAACAAGTGCATCCCGACACTGGAGTTTCCAGTAAGGCAATGACTATCATGAACAGTTTCGTTAATGATATTTTCGAGAGAATTGCTGCTGAGTCTTCACGTTTGGCGCACTACAATAAGAGATCAACTATTACATCTCGGGAAATTCAAACAGCAGTGAGACTTCTTCTTCCTGGTGAACTTGCGAAACACGCCGTTTCCGAAGGTACAAAAGCCGTGACAAAATACACCAGCTCCAAATAAATTGAGAAAAAAAATCTTTTGGAAACATATCAATCGGCCCTTTTCAGGGCCAACAATTTTTCTCAAACGTTGGGTTTATTTTTTATTCTTGACATTATTAAAAAAACAATAATACGAAGTTCAAATCTTTTTGTCTTTTCTGTCGAACGGATAATTTTTTGCCCAGGGCGCAGAAATTAATATCGTCATTCCTGTAACATGAAACATTTTGAGGTTAGAATTCACTAATTTGACAACATAACACGTGAAGGTTACTCCAAGAATTTGAAACGGAAGTAAAGATAGTTTTTATATAAATATTGTAAATATGGGAAGACGAGCTTGTGGCTTTATAATATTCCGAAGATTTAAAGGACCGATTGAGTATTTATTGATGCAGACGTCATATGGCACTCATCATTGGACTCCTCCAAAAGGTTAGTAAAAAATAAGAAAGTCGACTGCGTTTATTTTTTACTAAAAGAAAATAGTTAACTTTGTTCTAATTTAAAAATGTTTTATTTAATAAGTATTTTTGACACACAATTTCAATTATAAAATTTTTAAAATACATTTTTTGAATATAGTTTCAAAAAGTCAAGTATACTAATTAATATAACATTGACATAGGAAACTAATAATAAAATAGATTTAGATTAAAATTTATAATAGAAAAGATAAATTAGAATTAATAATACGAATTCGTTAATAATAATATTTTTCATATTAATGATATTAATTTAATTTAATTAATAACCTGTTTTATCAACAATTAAAGGTCACGTGAATAAAGGAGAGAATGATTTTCAAACAGCTCTTAGAGAAACCGAAGAAGAAGCGGGCTTTGTTCAGGAAGATATGAAAATATTTACCAATTCCAAACACGAAATGGAATATTTAGTAAAAGGAAAACCTAAGACTGTGATATACTGGCTGGCAGAGCTAGTCAATAAAAATAAAGATGCCCGTTTATCCAGTGAGCATCAAGACTTTCAATGGCTTCCTATTGATGAAGCTTGTATTTTGTCTGAATATTCAGAAATGCAAGATGCTCTGAAACAAGGTCATAAATTTATCACAGAAAATCTCATTTCTCCTCCCGAGAAATAATATTCACCCTTTCATTTAATGGAGGAAAAGCTAATTTTAAAATTAAGCATAATTTCCACAAAAAATTCTTTAGAAATGATTAGAAAAAGAAATAGGTGACCCATTTAGATTTTTTTCTGATTTATAGACAATTTTTTAATATTCTTTTTTTGACTCCTTTTGGTTTTAACTAATTGATTTTTTTTAGCCTTTTTGTATAGAAACTAGACAATTTTTGCATAATAATTAGTGCGAAAATATTTTTATGCACTAAAATCGAATAGGAAAGTAACTTTTTTTGGTTCTTTTTGGAATTTTTATTTTATTTTTTTTATTCTTTTTGTAGAAACTAGACAATTTTTGCATAATAATTAGTATAATAAATTTTTGTGAACTGAAATCACACTAAAATTGAATAGAAAATTTACTTTCTTGTTATTTGCTTAATTCTTTTTTGTTTTTTTAATTAGAGGTGCCCTTTATTGTACCGATTGAAAAATTCTTTGTTTCTTTTTTTTGTAGAAACTAGAAACTTTTTGCATAATTTTACAAACAAATTTTTTGAGATCTGAAATCGAATAGAAAATTGACTTTTTTTGTTAAATTTTTTTTTGTCAATTTTATAGAAATAAGAAATTCTTCCATATTTATACATTTACTGATTGAATTTAATGAAGTGCCCTTTATTGTACCGATTAAAGAATATTTAGGATTTTTATTTTATTTTTTGACAAATTTTGTTGAATACTTGACGAATTATATTTACACATTTTCCCGTCTTCTTTAATTAAGACACATTTAGAAATTTTTTATACATTCGAACCAGATTTGATGACTATGTTTGTCACAAAAAATCTGTATTTTATATATTTTTTTCGAAAAAATTGAATTTATTTCTCCCTTAATGATTTTTTGTAACTGTTATTAAAAAGATCTTGTTAATAAATGAATCTATCTTTCTTTAAATTTGTCATTATTCAGTATAATTTTTCTAAATTAAAAAAAAACAATATTGTTTAGTTTGAATTTAAACTATTTAATTTGAATTATTTTATTTAAATTATTTCATTTGAATTACTTTATTTAAATTATTTTATTTAATAAGAGTAGAAATGATTCTATCACTCAGTCGTATTTTAATAAATAGTGAAAATTAACGATCACTCCGAGTCAAGGAATTATTATTTTATTTAAATTATTTTGTTTGAATTACTTTATTTAAATTATTTTATTTGAATTATTTTATTCGAATTACTTTATTTAAATTATTTCACAGAGAAAAATATAGAGTAACTTTTACTGTTTACAAAGTAAAATTAAAACCGTCTGTAACTTCTGCGTATTTCTTGCAACTTTTACTATTTTCGGAGTAAATTTTTTTAATTTTTTTACAAAAATTTACTTCTAAAGTAGCAATTTCACCGGTTTTACTATAAAAACAGTAAAAGTTACTTTATTCGTTTTTTCCGCAATTATTTAAATTATTTATTTAAACAATTTCATTTGAATTATTTTATTTCAATTACTTCATTTAAATTACTTTATTTAAATTAATTTGTTTAAATTATTTTATTCGAATTATTTTATTTCTAAATTTTACAAGTACTTTATTTAAATTATTTTATTTGAATAACTCTATTAAAATTATTTTATTCCAATTATTTTATTTGACTTTATTTTAATTCTAAGTTTCACAATTTATTTATTAATCACATCGTTGATTTCATGAAAATAATGAAAGTATAGCAAAAAAAAATATAACTCAATAGATTGGAAAAAAAATTACAAAATAAATTCTCGAAATTTCAAAAAAATGACATTTTGCAAAGAGGAGTCGTGTTACCATTTTTATTAAAAATGATTTTCGCTACATTTTTTTTATACCGATCACCATAAAACACTTAGCAAAGCTTTATGTACCTATCTACAGAATGAGGTGTATATGTGTGAATTACACGCGCGAGTCTTATTTTTTTTGTATTTTATTATTTTCTTTTTGCGACAATTTTTTTTGACAACATTCTTTTTTCGAAATGAAAAAAATTAAACATCAATTCGAGTCAACGAGTGTTGTCCATATTTAATTATATTTGAATCGATCGTCGACAGTCGATTTTATGTTTTGTTGAAAATATTGACCTTCATCATCTCAATTGGTTTTCTTATTTTCTTTTTTTTTCTTGTTAAATATTAATTGATTTTATACATTCAGTTTTTGTTTGTTAAAGCAAGCGAGCTGAGGGTGGGTGTATTTATAGTATACATATTTACCTACGTGTTAGGGATTGTTTTTTTTACCATTAACATTACTAGAGATCTTATTGTTAACTGCTAGTTAATAATAGTAATGAACTATTATTAGGTGTTTCTAATTTCAATTTGTTACAGCGACTGCATCGGAGTGATACATTTTTCTTTTTTAATTTCCTAACAGTAGTAAATTAAATATAAGAGGACTCTGAATTTACTTTGTTTTTAATTCTTTAATTATAACAATTCTAGTCGCGGATGCAGACTCACAGAACATTTTTTTTGTTTTTTCTTTTTTTTCTGTTTTTAAATACGATACTAATATTGAATCTTTATTTTACATTGTCACCTTAGATCAGAGTATAAATCGAACTGGCGAAAAATTATATAAACATAGTTTCACACCATTTTTTTTTATACTCACAGAATAATGCGCTCTCTGCCTGTACTTGCAAAAAAAGAAAAAAATAGTCTCTTTTCAAAGTGGTCTGGTTTTAGAATTTTAGAAATAAATAGTTAAGGAATTTATTAACAGGTAGAGGGCGAATTATTATGCGTGTACTCAGGTATACATATATAAAATATTTACATATATATATGTATACTTTAATTAGAGATAATTGAGAGTAAGTCCCGATTGCCCCTGATGTACACTCATTGCGCCATTTTTTTTAAAGGAAAAAAAATCGCATGTATATTCCGATCAAATGACGATATTTTATTTTTTTGCTGGACTCGATACTTTTTGTTATCAGTCATTTATCGATACGCAGCATTTATAAAGTTTATTTTAATTTTTTTTTTGTATTTAATTGTTTTTCTTCATATTTTTCTTTTTTTTTTAAGTAATTCGAATCGCCCGGAATTCGTCGCACTGGAAGTATAAAAATAACTCAACTCGTTCGTAAATTGTAAATAAATTATTAGTCATTGCCTAGCGATTCAAAATCTTTTAGGCGAATATAAAAAATTGAATGTTTTTTTCCTCCGATGCACGTGTTAGCGTTTCACCAAAAAATCGTTTTTTTTAGTAGCCTTAGTACCTTTTTTTCTCTTTGTAATTAATATTTGTATTTACATTGTCGTCTTTACAAAATCTTCTCCTCGCACACACGCACATCGTACGCTAATAAAAAGTGAATAAGAAATATAATGCGGCCAATTTTTTTATTTAATAATATACCTAATTTAATAATATTATGTCTTCAATGGAAATAGCAGATCTTAAATATATTTATATATCTATATATACGAAACTGTCGAAAGTACTTAATTATTCACATTACGTTAATGGATGTTTCATGGGTGGGGAAGGGGGACAGTCACTTTGAATTTATCTTTTGCGTGAACTTTTTAAATTTCACCTAATAACTTCGATATAACGATACGTCGCCCTTTGTTTATTCTCAAGTACCAATAATACAAGCTTTTTTTATATAATTAATTAAACTTCTAATGTCTATAATGCTATTTACTTTGCAGAATTGTGTTCATTAAAACAAAGTATTCTATTTTTTTTTTTTTTTTTTTTTTTTTTTGAGAAAAATTTGCGGCGCTTCGTGAATCGAAATTTTCTTTTCCGCTAAGACAAAATTATTACTCTCGCAGAATGTTGATTAAAAAAAAAGTTCACCATTTTCAAAGACATTTAAAAACTTTAAAAAGTTGATGTCTCTTTACGAGTTATTATTAAAAAGACTAAAAAAAATTCCTAAAATTAAATAAACAGTTTTTTTCTATTATATATATATGTGTATTTTTTTCAACAATTCCCTCCGATTTAAATAGCGAAGATTTTCTTTATAGCACTGCCTTTTCAACTTCTTTTTTTAATCCTCCTTCACACTACAATTTATGCACATCAGAGTGGGTTTTCTTTTCACCTTTTTTTCCAATGGTATGAAAAGGAAATTTTCTAAAAGAAAGTTTTAACTTTTTCTTTCTTGATGATCATTTTGTGGGCCTGATCAAGATTCACTCTCTGAATAACAAATAATACTGCTAATACAAAAAAAAGAATTTTTTTAGGACTTCTGACAGTAAAGACTCATTTTTCGTGATGTGAAAGAAAAAATATTCTAAAAAAAGGTGAAATAAAAAATAAATCGGTATAATTCCAGCTTCATACTTTGACCAGTCTGCGAGACTGAACTGTTCCATTTGGCACTCAAAGAGTATTTTCTTTTACTTTTTTTCCATTTTTATTAGCCATTTATGGATCACAGAATTTTTTCTTCTTTTTCTTCTTCTTTGCGTTTCCATCTCTTTTTTGAAAAATCCTGTGCCTTCAAGAAGGAGGTTTTTTTCCTTTTGTAATATATATTTATATAATCCATCAAAACTGGGAACAGATCGTCGTTTAAACGAATATCTCTTGCGTGTCCGATTCCGATTCCGAGTCAGAGTCCCAGAAGAAACAAGAATAGAATTCTTCAGACGTTGCCACTTGGTGGCACAAAACGCGAGGGGGTTATGGATTGGCGCGAGCGGCTAAAGCGCCTGTGGCCGGCAGTCACAGCTTGAGTTCGTTTGCAATTTTACTTGCGATGTTTTTAAACCCAATAGAAGTACCTGAAAAATTTTATTTTTCAAATTAAATTTAAATCAACAACTTACAATAATTAAAGATGACCAAGTAATAAAAATCATTATTATTAGAATATTGTTACTGTAACTTCTTCAAAATTATTTTCATCATTTCAATCCAATTATTATTTTCCACAATTTTTAACTAAAATTCTTCTTTAAATCAATTATTTTAAAAATTTTTTTAAAAAGTTCTTTGAGAATTTTCAAATCCATTTGTTTACAATTCAATATCACAAAATTTTGATTATTCGGAAATTCTTCAATATTAAATATATTAAGATAACAAAAACTTCAGTTCAAATAATTTAAAAAGAAATTCAATTAAACTTTTTTAAAAAATTTAATTCTACAGAATTGTTAACTAAAAGTATGAAAAATTCAGATTTTCAAAGATTTTAATTTGACAACTTAGAAATCAATTTTTATTAGAAAAATTTACGAGAAGTCAATTATTTAAATACAGAAATAAATAATTTATTGAATAATAATTGAATGCTTCTTAAAATTGAATTCTCATAAAGAATTCTATCAAAAAATTTTTAAATAATTAGTTTATAATCTTTAACGTCCGAGAATGTTTTCATTTCATTGTCCGAATGTTTTCGTTTAATTTGCCTTAATTTAATTTTAAATAATTATTAACTTCTTCCACATTTACTAAATTTATAAATAAATGAATTCTTTCGATGAATTTTAATAAAATTTTTAAGAATAATTACAATCTTCGAGGAATTTGATTAAAATTGTATTAAAAATAATTGAAATTCTACGATGAGTTTTATTATTTATGAAAATAATTAAAAAATTTATTAATTTATTATTATTAAATAAATATATTACCTATATTTATTATTAATTTATTTATTATTATAAAAATTTATAAAAAAATTTGTAAATGATTGAATTCTTGTGAAATTTTTATTAAGTATTTATGAACATAATTAAATGTTTGCGTACAATTTTATTAAAATTTTTTTTAATTAATTGAATTCTTTTGGAAAATTTTTGAAAATAATTGAAATTTTGTCAAGAATTTTATTAAAATTCAAAGTGAAGAATATTATTTAATAAAAATTTTCCGTGTCAGTAGGAGGTATAAACTAACATATATCATATCATAGTTAGTTTCCAAAAATTATCATTTATATAAGAGGAATTTCAGTTTTACCAAAGAGTGCAATTTTATGATTTTTAAAAATGTTGGGGAATTGTGGGCCACTGCCTAAATTGAGTTCAAAATAAAAAATAACGATGAAATAAATTTATTACATGGTTAGAAATATTAAAAATGTTAAAAATGTTTAATTATTAGTTTAAAATTCGAAAAGAAAAAGTAAGAAAATGAAATTAATCGGAATCACAATTAATTAATTACAAATTTTTAAGTAAACAGCTTTATCGCATGAATCGCAATGAAACGAATTGTTTTTGTTAAATTACTATAGCTATGAGTGATTTTAATAATATGTACTTGCATTGTGCAATTAAATCGCCAAAAACAAGCAATAAATACTTCCCTGAAAAAAGTGGCCCACAATTGAAGGGCTACATAAAATAAGGGGACGAACGCAAGGCTTGGAAGGGATACTACCAGTCGGGTAGCAGCGGTAGCAGTGACAAGCCTTGAGCCGCTCACTGCTACCTGACTGATATTAACCACGCGTTCGTTTCGTGATATTTTAAGAAAAATTCGATCGTTAGAAAAATATGTGATTTAATGTTACAAAATAAGCATAATATAAATATGTAAATGTCATAAGACGCGCCTTTGTTTCAAATCCGCTCCAATTGACTCCTACAAATTCCCTGATTCTTTTTTCTTGTGACAAATAACCTTTTTTTTTTTACTAAATCATATAAATAAGCGGGCGTCCCGCATTGACACTATTTCCATATGGTCACTTTAATCTTATAGAATATATAAAAACACATTTTTTGGTCCAAGATTTAATGATTTTTAACCCTCTTATAAAAAGTAATTCTTATATTTCAATTATTATTATTTCTATGAGGAAGCAAAGTGTTTGCATGAAATGAACACCAAAATTATAAAAATGTACAACTTGGCAGCGGTTTTTTTATTTTAAATTATTTATTTTAAAAAGTAGAGCAGATTGGGGAATTGTGTAGCATAAGAGACAGTAGCTAATTTTGCACGAAATCTTTATTATAAATACAAAGAGAACGTGCTATAAAAGTATTAGATCCTTTTTATAAGAATCGCTCGAACTCCGACTGATTTGCAGGCGGACTTTATACAACACAATCTAACCTGTGTATACGCACATATAACTCACACACACATATATATTTCTCTGGACAGTTTTGTCGTCCTGTAAAACATTATATATTATATGTAGTATTTAATACTTGTTGCTGTTATAAAAAGATAATATTTATTTAATAGTAAGTATATTATTTAAAAATTATTGCATTTTTATTCGTGTTTGAATATATAAGCAACATGTGAAAATTGTTAGGTTATGTTACGCGTTCCGTTCCTCGAAACCATCCAGAGAAATATATGTGTGTGTGAGTTATATGTGCGTACACGCAAGTAAGATTGTGTTGTATAAAGTCCGCCTGAAAATCAGTCGGAGTTCGAGCGATTCTTAAGAAGAATCTAATACTTTTATAGCACGTTCTCTTTGTATTTATAATAAAGATTTCGTGAAAAATTAGCTACTGTCTCTTATGCTACACAATTCCCCAATCTGCTCTACTTTTTAAAATAAATAATTTAAAATAAAAAAACCGCTGCCAAGTTGTACATTTTTATAATTTTGGTGTTCATTTCATGAACACTTTGCTTCCTCATAGAAATAATAATAATTGAAATATAAGAATTACTTTTTATAAGAGGGTTAAAAATCATTAAATCTTGGACCAAAAAATGTGTTTTTATATATTCTATAAGATTAAAGTGACCATATGGAAATAGTGTCAATGCGGGACGCCCGCTTATTTATATGATTTAGTAAAAAAAAAAGGTTATTTGTCACAAGAAAAAAGAATCAGGGAATTTGTAGGAGTCAATTGGAGCGGATTTGAAACAAAGGCGCGTCTTATGACATTTACATATTTATATTATGCTTATTTTGTAACATTAAATCACATATTTTTCTAACGATCGAATTTTTCTTAAAATATCACGAAGTCTATCTCTCTCACACTTATATACGCTACTGTGCTAATCTGTAGATGCAGGATATTCTTAACTATTTTCCGGGATATGCAGGACATTTTATGTCAAATGTGGGACGTTTTGTGGGACGCTGGCCTTTGCGGGACAAAGGGGAAAAATCCGGGACAGTCCCGCACAATCCGGGACGTATGGTCACTTTATATAAGATGGTAATAATAGTTTAATAATTACACATAAGTTAATAAACAAGAATGTTGAAAAAATGATATTTTCCACAATTTTTGATTTTTCAAATACCAATAATTTAATAATTTCTGCCCGAATCAGGTTAAAAATTAGGTCAATTGAAGCGTTTTTTAATGCTCTTCAAGTTGGTAATAATTTTTTGAAGTTACTTTTACATAATTTAAAAAATTTTTTATAAAAGTCTTATTTTTCAAAATTTTAGATTTTTAAAAGTTTAATATCTCCGGTTAATATGGACGAAAAATGTTCAATTAGGGCTTGAAAGATGCGTCTGAAAAAACTCTACAAAACTCAATACGAAACAAAACTAAACTTCTACATTTTTCAATAAAACTTTCAAAAAAGTCTTATTTTCTAAAATTTTTGATTTTTTAAAGTTTAATATTTCCGGTTAATATAAACGAAAAATGTTGAATTAGGGCTCAAAAAATGCGTGTGAAAAAACTCTACAAAACTAAAGAAAAACATTTATAAGTGTCCTAACATTTTTTTAAGTTATGTCCAAAAAACTTTTTTTTACAAAATGAAAAATGCAAAAAAAAATAGTTAAACTTCATGAATCGGGCTGAAAATACTCTCATTTTATGTCCCCCGGGGAGACCTAAAATTTAAAAAAAATTGAGGCCTTTAGCTTTTTTTCGTTCTGAGATATTGAGGCAAATGTAATGTTAGTACACACACACACACACACATCGGGACAAATTTTTAAAATCCGTTTTTTGGACTTCGGAGGTCAAAATACGTCGAAATTTTTTTTTATTTATTTAGAACATTTATACGGGGAGTTTCTGTGCATATATAAAGTACTAAAGTATTAGGCATAATAAAAAAAAATTTATAAATATGTCAAAAAATGACAATCCAAAATTTTGCTAATACAAAGCTTCCTTTATGAGGAAGCAAAATAATAAAATTTCTGCAATAATTTGTAACTTCTCCAAAATTCAATTTTTTTAGTGTTTTTAACTAAAATTCCCCTATAAATCCATTATTTATAATAATTAATTAAATATTTATTAAAAAAATTAACTAATTTCAGAAGAATTATTATTGGAATTATTAAAATTTTTCAAAAATCTAAGTTTTTTAAAATTTCTAATTAAATTAATTGAAAATTGAAATTTTATAAAATTTAAAACCTTTTGAAGTTAATCTATTTGGGAAATTTGTAAACGGAACACTTTTAAAATTCAATTAATTTTGAAATATTTAAGTAAAATATTCAAACAAAAAATAGACCAAAGTTCGGAATTTTCTTATGAATAAATTCTAAAAATTAAATTTTTTCCAGTACTTTTAATAAAAATCGCCGACTTTTCCTTGAATTTCCTAACCTGTGGCAACCCGGTTTTTATTTATTTTGTATGTATTTTTTTTATTTCCTTATTTTATTTATTTTTCGTTTATCAAATTAATCGATTTTAAATATGCGAAATATACTTTATAATAATCCTATAAGTTTCCTTTTCCGTTAGCAAATTCTCTGCATTTATTTGTTTGTTTTGAAAATTAATTTTTGTGGGTTATTGTAATTTTTTATTTTTTTTGAAAGGTCAAACTTTTCAACGGTTAATATAAAATTTACGAGACGCATGCCTGTTCCCAAATTTCAATTCTATACAATTTATTATATTTAATTGAATTTTTAATTAACTATTTTTTAAAGCATTTATTTTTAAAAATTTGTAAAGAAATAATTATTATTATTACCTAACAAAAAGTTTGAACTAATTAAAGGTGGAAAAAGCTAACAATTATAGAGAATTAAATTTTCATTTTATATTGTTTAGAAACTTTAAAGTTTACAAAAAAAAATTTAACAAATTCGAACTTCCAATTTTTTTTAAATTCTAATAATTTTCCTCAATGGTCTCAATTTAAATAGAATTTACATTACTGAACCTAAACCATGGCTAAAACAATTCCAATTAATATCTGGGTCATAAAAATGAATTTAATTCACAATAATAAAAAAATATCCACAGCCGATAATCATCAGGAGGTGAAAAAATTTTTTTTTAGCGAATTTTATCTTTTATATTGCTTATTTTAAACAATATAAAGCCATTTTAATTTAAATACTTTTTAAAGAAATAATAAAGAATAGCGAAAGTATTAATTGAAGCACTAAATTAAAAAATTAAATTAAATTAACATCAGATTTTGTAAAGTCAAAATAACGAATTCAACATAGACATTAATTATCTCAAAACTTTACCAAATTCACCTCAGAAATCATTGAATCCGATAAATTAGAAAAAAGTTATACAATGGAAGTTCTATTTTGAGTTTCTAAAATTTAATGTTATGTTTACCGCATTAGAAATAAATTTCAAGTGAATCCGATAAATTTTGTTACTTTCTTGTAGTACAATTGTAGTAAAATTGAATCTCCCAAAAATTGTTACATATTTTATACTTTTATTTCAAAAATAATTTTGATTACAAACATTTAAATTATTCTAAAAATTGAAAAAATAATTATTTATTTAGCTTTTTAAACAAAGAATTCCGTATCTTTCGAAACTAAAATAACTGTTAGTTATTTTCACAAATAAAGTTTTCCACAAGAATTCAATTATTTTAACTAATAACATTTTCATAATATTTATTATATATCGAAAAAATTAATTATTATTTAAAACAATGTTCATAAAATTCTTATGAAGAATTCAATTACTTTTAAAAATAACAAAATTTTGCACAGAAATCCAATTCTTTTTAAACATTTTAATAAACTTTTCCGCAATAATTCAATTATTTTCAAAAATAATAAAATTTCTCAAAGGAATTAAATTATTTTTGAAAATTTTAATTAAATTCTTAGCAACTATTCAATTATTATTATAAATAATTCTTTGCAAAATTCAATTATTTTCATAAATAACAATATTCATCACAATAATTCAATTATTTTTAAAAGTAATAAATTTCTTCAGGGAAATTCCATTATTTAAAAAAATTTTAATAAAATCGTTCGCAAGAATTCAATTATTTTCATAAATAATAAAATGTTTTTTAGGAATTCAATTATTTTCAAAAAAATTTAATAAAATTTTTACAAACTTTTCACAATTCAATGATTTCCAATATCTACTATTTTCATAAAATTTCCAAACAGAATTCAGTTATTTTAAAAAAATTTTTTATGAATAATAAAAATTTTTCAGGAATTCAATTACTTAAATTAGAATTTGCGTAAAATTAGTCGAAAGAAATCAATTATTTAAAAATTTTTATAAAATTCTTCTCAAGAATGACATTATTTTTATAAATATTAGTTGAATTCTTTAATGAATATTAAAATTAATTGCAGGAATTCAATTTATTAACAGGATAAGAAAAAAGTAAATATTTTTGATGAAAATTAGGAAAAGTCAGGAATAAAAAATACAAATTATAAAAATAATTATTTAAAATTAATAACTGATAATAATATAATAATAATTTTATACTTGGGAAATCTAGAAGTATAAAAATAAAAATGAATTAAAACAAATTTGATCAAATATCTTTTAACAATATTATATTAAAATAAAAAATAATGTTAAATTATGGACACCAACCTTTAGACTAAATGATAAAATTATTTAGTTAATTAAAAATTTAATTCAATATAATAAATTGTATATAGAATTAAATATTGAGAACAGGAATGCGTCTTGTAAATTCTACATAGGTACCTAACCGTTAAAAAGTTTGACATTAAAAAAAAAATAAAAATTGCCAATAACCACAAAAATTAATTTTCAAAACAAACAAATGAATGCAGAAAATTTGCTAACGGAAAGGAAACTTACGATTATTATAATGTACCTATTAATATTACTTAATATTAATTATTTATTTTAAATAATTATTTTTATAATTATAATTTGTATAAAATCTATTTGTAAATTTGTATAATTTTTAACTTGCAAAATTGTAAGTAATGTGTCTAATTATTAAAAATATAATATTTATTTTTCATAATTTTTGTGAAATCTAATTATTATTTGAAATAATTATTATTTTATATCTTTTTAAATAATATAAATTAAAATCCACGAAATATTATTTTACTTAATAGTAATTTAATAAAAATTGTATTTTTATCATTTTTATTGCATAGAATTATTTATTTATTTAAGTAGTAAACGGGCTTATTGTCTAATGTTTATTTTATAAACTTTTAATGAGAATAAAATTCAATTTTATAAATTACGAAATATTAGAAATTCGGATTTAGTTTTATTAAAAAAAAGAAGAAGAAGATGAGAATAAAATTCTATTTTATAAATTACGAAATACTGAAGATTCGGTTAAAATGAATTTTTTGAAACAAAATATCTAAATGTCACAGAAGGAAATTTAATTTTTTTCCAGAGGCGAAAACTGTTATTGAAATTTTATTTTTAGTTTACCTGAAATACGTTTGAATCGTACACCATTCAGAGAGAGCCGTGGCAGTTTACAAACTTCTATTTCCCATTGTACCTGACTATCCGTTGCTGGATCACCGTGGGCACAAAGCAAGAGGAATCGTTCAGCTTGTTCGTATTGACATTCATTAGCATCCAGAACCTGCGAAAATTCACAAATAAATTAGCATCAAAAATTCCTCCAAAATTCAATTTTTCTATTTTTCTATTTTTAAATATATTAAATAATTTTAAATAAATTTTCAAAAGTATAACATAAAATTTAAATACATTTTGAATAAATTTCAAAAATATATTTCAGAGAAAAAAAATTCGTTTTTGATTTCTTAAATACCTTTCGAATTTCAGACATGATTTCAGTAGGATCTCGACTACTGGTAGTTTTCATGCTCCAAGTAAATCGTAAACTACGAGGTTTCACCTGATCATCGTTAGTTGTTGCTCCACTGTAATAAGAATTTATTTACAACCATTGTTTCGAGAGACGAAAACAAAAATTATTTTATAATGGAAACTTTGAGAGGGGGAAAAAAAAGGATGAAACCAAAAAAACCGAAACCTAATTCTAAAAAAAAAATTCTCTTATATAAAACTATTAATTTCTCTAATAAAATTTTGGACATATATTTCTTTTTAATTTATATTTTTCGAGAAAAATCATTCAAGATGCGACACTGAGCAATGACACATTCTGCAAAGCTTATATATATATATATATGAATTAATAAATATATTAAATATAATTAGATTGTAAAAATAGAGAAAAATACATGCGGCACATGCAAGTTTAAATTTTTTTTATTTTTGTACTTCTTTTATTTTTGTTATAGAAGAAAAACAAAAAACTTTTTTTACTTTTATATAAAGCATTTTTATACTAAAAAATTAAAGAAATGAATTAATGCCGCAAAAAATGTATAGTTGCAGAAAGTTCAAACTCACCAAGTCCAAAAATAAAGATTTCTGTCGATATTGATAAAAAATAAATTTTTTATATAATTTATCGAAAATTTCTTTTTGTTCTACATCTACACTGCAAAGAAGGCAAAAAAAAAAACAATAAAAAAAATATAATTCATAATTGTTTTGTTTCATTGTGACTATTTCTTATTTTCAAAAAAGAAAAAAAAATGTAGAATCAAAATTTTTGATATTTTGGAAGATGCAAACGTGCTTTCAAAAAAACTAAAGCAATATTTTTAATTTCTTAACTTTAGTAACGAATTAACTCTGTTTCGATCTAAAAAAAAAATTATATAAAAAGAAATAAATAAATTGTATAAAAATGATAAATAAGGAAAAATATTATGAACGATAAAAAATAACTAATAATAAAAATGGTAATGAAAATAATAATAGAAATGATAAGGAAAATAATAAAAATAATGAAAATTCTAAAGAAAATAAGACTAAAAATAATAAAAATGGTAAATGAAACAAGACTAAAAATAATAAAAATAGTGAGGAAAATAATAGCAAAAAATTTTCATTAGAAAATAAAAATAATAAATAAGTCGAAAAAATCAAGGACGAAAAAAAAATAAAAAAAAAAATAAATTAAAAGGTGGATTTTGTGGTATTTATGGTATGACCAGCAACGTACCTCACTACTGGGTGCTTTGGGGAAACGGATGGGTCCATGGGGCTGAAATAACAAAACAAAGACAATTGCTAACAAACACTAAAAGTCGATCAATTATTTGGAATTTTTTTTTTGTTTTCTCTTTTATTTACAACCACCACCAGTCTGCATCTGGATAAAAGAAAATTTCCCAATTGAAAAAAAATCACAACACTCCGCAGAAACATGAGTTTCTCTGACGATTAAAAAACAAAAAAAAAATGATGCCACTGACTGATGTTTGTTTTATTTCTTTCTTTCTTTCAAAAAAAAAAAAAATTGTGCTGGCAGAAAATAAATTTTAAAACAAAGCATTAATTTAAAAAAAAAAACTAAAATGGTCATTATTTGTGTAAATAAATGAACTTTAATTAAAATTAAAATTTTCAAAAAGGCAAATTTGCATGAATAAAATATTTTTCTTTGGCAAATAATTTTTTTTAAATAACAAGCTAGTGTTCGTGTTTGTGTATGTGCATTCAGATACCGAAAAGGAGACATGCATTTGAATCATGATCGCAGTTGTAATGCAAAAATAGTTAGTTTTGAATAATTTTTTTATTTTGCTTTCTTTCTATTTTTTCTGTTTTTTTCTGTTTTCTTCTATTTTTTCAGTTTCTTTCTATTATTTTCTATTTTTATCTATTTTTTGTGAAATAAATTAATAAGACGTGTATGAGGTATTTTTAAAAGATTTATTATACTATGCTTATGAAATTATTCCTCTTATTGCTTCTTAAAATTATAAAACAATAATTATTTCTATATTAGATAGGTATTTTTTTTCTTATTTTTTTTTCTTTTTCTTAGGTTTGCCGTCTACTGTTCTCCAAAGTAACTCCAAAGTAATAAAGTTATTAAACAAAACGAAGAAAATTAAATAATATTTAATTCAATTAGAATTATATCACTTTTGCCATTTAATAATATAAAAAAACATTAATAGCAAATAATAGTAATAATTATTAGTATAATTGTATAATTATAATTTTGCCATTTAATTAAAAAGAAGAATATTAATAGCGAAGAATACTAATAATTATTATTATAATTATATAATTATAATAATAGTAATAGTAATAATAATAATAAAAAGAAAAATTAAAAAAAATAAAAGCAAAAAAAAATATTTTAGTGCAAGTATTAAATGAGCAAATAAAAAAATGGAAAACAGCAAACAGCGCGCATATCACAAGCATACCAAAGCTCATATATTTATACATATTTAGAATAATCGTGTCTATTTATTAATTTTTTTTAACTATTCTTTTTTTAAATACTTTTATTTTTCATTTCGCCTTTCCTACTTTTTTTCACATATATCTATCGGACGCTTTTTTTTCTTGCGATCTCCACGTTTTAATAGTTTACACTATTTTACACGCAATCACGCACTTGAATGACTACCGCCACTTTTTTTTCGAATTTCATATACTAATTCAACGTCGAATTCAATACTTTCTAAATTTAAGATTATTATCATGTAATAAAATATACATATTGGAACTTTTACTCTTATTACATTCACTCGCAAATTTTTTTTTTGCGCAGAATTATAAAGGCAATTGTAATAATAATAAAAATAATAATAATAATAATGATTAATGATAATAATAAAAATAATTAAAAAAATAATAGCTACAATAATAATAGTAACTATAATAATAATAATAATAGTAACTATAATAATAATAATAATAATAATAATAATAATAATAATAATAATAATAATAATAATTTTAATAACTAAAATAATAATAATGATGATAATAATAATAATAATCGCAATATTAATAATATAATAATTATTATTTGAATAATTCGAAGCTGCTAAATGCAAAAGAATATAATATATTCTTTGGACAATAAATCCTAGTTTTCAGAGGGTAAAATTTTGATAAAGAATAATTTATGAATTCATTCAATGCGTTTATTTTTATATATTTAATTTTTATACTCTCTAGGGCGATTAAAACTAATTCTATTCGAAAATGAAAAATCGAAGAACAACAATATTATGTCAATCATTATTTTCAAAACCTTTTTTTTTGTCAAAAAATTGTGAATTTAATCTTTCGAAAAACTTTTAGAAAATAAGTATTCCATTTCTATCTAACTTTTTTGTCTACAATACTAAAATTCCATTTTTTTTCATCAATATTTCGTTTATTTACTCCTATAAATTTATTTTCTACAAAAAAATTTAATCATACATATACAATTTAAATTGAATTTTAAAATAAATTCAATCATTTTTAAATACCTAAATTTAAATATATCAAATTTCGATCTAAAATCTGTACAAAAAAGAATCGAAATCTAAATAAAAATTAAAAAAAGGTTTAAACACAAGAAAATTTATATAATAATTTATTTTTATTACTAAATTTTTAGTTTAAATTTATTGCTGAAAAGAAATTTATAGAAAATAATTTAAAGATAATAATTCAAAATTCTATTAGCAGTCAATGAGAGAAGAAAAATTCTCCTTAAAGAGAAAGAAAAAAACGTGCTAAAAGCGGAAAATTAAAAACGAGACTTTCCAGTTTTGTTGCCTCGGATTATTAAATAAAAATTGTGATTGTCAAGAAAAGATACATAATTTAAATTGCATTATTAGTTTTTTTTCAAAACGAAATTTGAAATGTATTAATAAAATTTTAATAATTTTTTTTTCATAGAATTAAAAAAAATTTTGATCAAAAGCCAAGTAAACAGTTTAAAAATTAAAATTAGCGCGATTTTTTTTAAAACTGATTGTTACAATTTTATGAATCTATATACAGACAATAATCGGCGCAAAAAAGTAAGGATCACAGTCATCTTAAACAATTACGCGTAGCCGAACTAGCAGTTTAACACAATGTTTATTTATATAATAATTATTATTTAAATGCGAAGATTGAGAATCGAACTTAAATATCAAAGTGTATTTTTCTTTTCGTTAAGGAGTCGTTCGAAAGTCTTTCTATGGTTTAAACTATATTTTTCTTTCATTATATCAATCTTGTTCACGAGTTTAAAAAAAAATTTTTTTAAATAATTACACAATTACTCTAATGCTATTAGTTAACATACTGTAAAACAGTATGAGATCAAAATTTTATTCTTTTTACTATTGTTGTTTTTATTTCATTTTTTTTGTCACGAATTTTCGGAACATAAAAATAATCGGCGAACTCGCATTTGATGTGATGGTACTAGTATTAAACGTGATATTCTCGGCATCTTGCTGCTCCTGATTTTCATGCGGAAAACAACGTGAATTATCTCATCCTTCATTTAGTAAACCTGTCAACGCAGGATAATTACGTAATAAACAATTTTTCTTTTTTTTTCTTAAATAGATTAATGTTATTCATATTATAATATTGTATAATAATAGTAATATTTTTTTTGCAAGTCCTCGACTACATTTCTTTTCTGATCATACAAATTGCACAAAAAACTAACTACACTTTTTTATAACCCTTGGAGTCACACGCAATTAAGACGAAATATATTTTTTTTGTACAAATTTTCAAATAATTACAGGTAGATATTTTTTTTGAAGCCACTGAATGTATCTCTTGCTTTAAAAATAGTAAGAATTCGTAAACCCTTCAATTAGGTTTTTCAAAATTTTCAACTTTCAAAATAAAAAACAAAAAGAAGAAAGAAAACCAAACTGAGAAAAATATAATCAGCAGCCTCAAAAATTTAACAGAAGCAATGAAAAAAAGTAAACTTAAAAAAGCGGATGTCTTAAAATATACTTACAATGAAATAACTATTTACAATATTAAATTAAATTATTATTTAACGGAAATAATTGAGTATTTTTTAAGAAGAGGGGACGAGAAAAAATTATTGCAAGTCGATGAATTCCGAAGAAATATATACAATCGAGAAAAAGAAAAAACTAGCGATAATAATAACAATAATAATATGTAATAATAATAATAAAAATAGTAATTAATAATAATAGTAATAATAATAATAATAATAATAATAATAATAATAATAATAATAATAATAATAATATAATAATAATTTTACGCTGTGACTCGAAGAATTAAACAAGTGCGTATTGCAAAATTTTTAGAGAGCACTTTCGCAGCATAATTAACCATTAGAATTGTATCTAATAAAAGAAAGAAATTTGCAATCAAATAATCCTTGATTAAAAAAAAAAACTCTTATCTTCAATTAGATCTTCGAAGTCAATTTCAGAAGTTCTATAAAATATTTTGCATTTAAAAGAAATTATTTTTTTTAAATAAAAAACAAACAACTCTTTTCCTAACTGATAAATTTTCCCAATTTCCTTGTCAATTTGTTCTTTGTCAAATTAATTTCTTTTCATTAAAGTAACAATATTGTCCAATTATTTTCTGTTCATTGAAGTAATAATATTAATTAGAATAATTGTAATAATAATAAAAATAAAAATTGTAATATTATACTTATCAATTACTTATTTATTAGTTAATTAATTAATTAATAAAATAAGTAAATAATCACTACCAAATATTGCGCTTCATTTATTTTTACCTAAAATTGAGATTATTTTACTGCAAATATTATCAATAATAATAATAATAATAATAACAAGCCATAAAATTAATATTCGAAATTATTTACTTTCCTATCCGACGAAAAATAATGCAATAAATGTTTGGCGTTTAAAAAATATTCACTAAGTATGCCTCTGTATATAATATATAATATTATGTATAAAGTCGATTCGAAAAAAAATTTACAATATTTAGATGATTAAATGAACAATATTACAGATCTCTCAACACGACACAGGCACTTTATGAAAAGTGTTTTAATTTCAATTCAATTTTTTTTAAGAAAAGAAATCTTTCTCCAAGTTAAAAAAAAAAATAAATAAATGAATATCTTTAAATATTGAAATTTTTATTTTGTGAACGGATCGATCGTTTTCGATTATGCGCTGAATTACTATATATATGTATTTGTTTTTAAATGATTAAAGATCACACTATTTACAAAAAGAGGAAAACAAATTAAAAGCGGTAGAGAAAATTTTAATTTTTTAATTTTATAATAAATTTAATGTAAAATTATCATCAGCATCATCATCTTCTTTTTCTTATGTATTAAACTATTTATTTAATACAATTTTTTTTTTAAATTACTCATTTACATTACATTTATTATATAAATTATATTTCTGCCTATGTAGTAAAATTTGTTTTCCTCAAGACGAATAAAAATAAACGCTGTTAAAATTATCATCGATTAATGACTATCGGCTTACGTAATAATAAACTACCCTATAGGATTGAGCTGTTAAAAGGCGAGATCATTATTTTGGGCTTTCTTTTACAAACATTTGACATAATTTCCTCTTTTTTAAAAATAAAAGTAAATTTTTATTATAACATAAGTTTTTCTCGAAATTTTTTTCAAATTTTCCGAAAAATGTTCTTTTTGTAAATAAACACGAATTTTTCAAATTAGTTTTTCGCAAAATAAAGAAAACTGTAAATTTTTTTCTCTTTAGCTTTCGAGCATCTAATATAGTTATTTCCTGTACAAAATAAATATTAAAAAAAATGTAATAACTTGAGATATTTTAATTGCTTGAGCAGTTGAATTAATTGAAATGATTCACCTAATTAAATTTGAATTCAATTAATTAAAATAGTTCAGTTATTTGAATTCAATTCATTATTAAATAATTCAGCTATTTAAATTTAACTATTTATAATAATTCGATTATTTATTAAACTTTTTCTTTCATTTTTTTCAAATTTCACAACGAATGGTCTTTTTGTAAATAAAATTGAATTTTTCGAATGAATTTTTTCCAGAATAAAAAAGATGAAAATTTTTCTCATTTTAGTTTTCGAGAATTTAATAGAATATGAAAAAAGTGATTACTTAAAATCTTTCTTGTACCTATTTAAATAATTGAATTAATTGAAATGATAATCAATCTCTCTAAATTTAAAATAGTAAAAAAATGTTTACTAATTAAAATTAGCGACTGACTTTTTTTTCAAAATTTTACTAATAAATTAATAGAAATTACTATTTATTAGTAAACTTTACTAATTTTAAAGCAAAAAGTCAGTCACTAATTCAAATTACATAGTGAAGATTTTTACTAATTCAAATTTAGAGAGATTAATTAAAAAAATAACTTAGATTTCAAATTTATTAAATTTTCTCTAAAACCGAGTCTACTTTCGAGCCGAAAGTTTGAAGTAAATAATCTCAATCAGCTAAAATACTTTTGTACGTTTAAACTTATGATTATATAAATTTTTCGATAAGTCGTCAACTTGATTGCAATATTTTCAATAAATTCTACTATTTTTATTTAATTAAAATTCCCGTCTTAGTTTTTATGTTGACATAACAAATTTGTTTCTTCTTCCAAAACTTATTTCACAGAAAAAAATTGAGTTTATAAAAAAATGCGCAAAACAAGATCTTGTTGAGACTTGACGCTACTTTCTCGTATATAATGAATAGCTCTCTAAGTACAGCGAGTCCAATCGAATTTATTTTTTTTTTTTTTGAAAAGAGTAGAAAAATATGCTTGGGATAATTTGAATTTGTTTTCGACGAGAGACTCCAAGTGCATATGTATATATATAGCAGGGTTAGGTGGGGGGTGGGGGTGTGGCAGGTTGAAAAATTGGGAAAGGCACGGATTTTAGTGCTATCTCTAAGTGCATCAAGGCGGCTTCCTTTGCCGGAAGACATTAATTTTTTTCTTCGTCAATATTTTGATAACATAATATTAAAATTGATAAGAATATTTTTTTTAAGTGTCCGCGAGTTGTATCTTGAGAAAAAAAATAGCTTCTTTTTGCTGTTGCTGCTGTTGTTGTTGTTGATGTAGTAGTAGTAGTAGTTGTTGTTGTTGTTGTTGTTGTTGTTTTTGTAGAGACAGACAAATAGACACCACAGAATAACGAAGTTGAGCGCATCTCAAAATCCGATTGAATTTGTGTTAATCAATGTGCCACTGATGAAGCTTCTTTTTGTTTTTTTTGTTCAGTTTTTGTTTTCAGGAATGCTGCACTACCGAGAAATAATTTCGGTACCATTTTTAGACACGTTGATTAAGACTCGTTTTTTCTCTCAAAAATGGCCTTTTCATCTTGTTTAATTTTGAGATGAGGCCAAAGCTATTTGGTTCAAGTCCTGCGGCACAATAATAACCGATAATTGATTATATTGTTAATTTTTGTTAAAGGATGCGCACTGATGCATCAATGGCTATGCTGAGTTTATTAAATTTTCGTTTATTCTGCTATAAACCGATGATTACAGTGACCATTTCATGAAAGACAATTATTTTTTTCTATCTTTATTTTTATCATCCCTTTTTTTATTAAAATAATTTTTTTGTAATAAGAATGATGGCTTGACCCCTCGTTATTCTGTGGTCTCGCGATGTCTAAGTGTATATAATATTCACGTGCGCAGAATTACGTCGTATTCTATTTACAATATATTGAAAAGTACGTAACAACAACTAAAGGCCGAGGAGGAAATGTCTAGATAAGGATTTTGCCTCGCTACGATCATGTCAAAAGGGATGCACAATGAATATGCGAGGACATTTTCAGCTTTATATGCCAAGCAGTTATTAGTTTCTTGCTGTATGTATATATTATCTTCATTAGAACTTTGTGATGAATGAAAACGAACATAAAGTGCAAGAAAGTATTGTCTTCTATTCAAATTATTTTTAATGCTTCTTCAATGCCAAATATTTTTCTTTTCCTTTTGCAAAACGAAAATAAAATTGTAGAAGTGTATTTAGGAATTTTTCAAGGGTAACTTTCTATTTTTTTGTGATTAGAAAAATAAATGGATTCGTTAGAGAATAGAAAGGATTAATATATAATTGTAAAATACGATATGGGAGGGACGATTAGAGAGAAACACAGAGAAAAAAGTGGAACGCGATGGTGTACAGATGCGTGTACAAAAAAAATATTCAAGTGTCAAAAATGTAAAAAATTCTCTTAATTATATTTTACACGGCTTTCAATGATAATGGTCGCTGCTGGCTCATCGAATTACAGATTTAAAAAAAGACCCTGTGTCGATCTTAATGTAGGCATTACATCACTATACAATTTCCAGAATTACATAGTCATTGTGCATCCTTAAAACAGAAACATTATTTAGCATGCAAACAGTAATAGGTAGATATTAAAGTTCATGAAGCAGACACTGATTCTTTTTTTTTTTGGTGAGAGCATTTACATTCTTTTCAATATTAACATATTTTCTTTTACTCAAAAATCACGCTTAATTAGCTCGCCTTAAACTGCAAACAAAAAAAATTAAAAATATAACCATTATACGATAGTAAGAATAGCAAAAAAAAATAAATAAATAAATAAAATAATAGGAAAAGGATAATTTTGACAATTTTTAACTTTTTTCAAAATTGGAAAGAAAAAAATGCTCGCATCATAAGTATTGAAACAGGCAAGATGAGATTAAGTGGTGGTATTTAAAATTGGAATTCCTAGCATGCCTTAATCTAAACGTATCAAATAGAAATAGATTTGCATTGTTAACTTACCGTTTAGAAAACCTCGAAGAAAGTTTGGAGAAAAAGGACGGCCTTGCTAGTGGGCTTATCGCATTTGTGTCTTGCGTATGAGTGTGGCCCTGAAAAATAAATCACAATTTTAATACCCAAAAAAAGTAGTTCACACTTTCAGAAATAATATTAAATTTCTAATTTAATTCATTTATTTATTGGAAATTTAGTATTTATTATTATTTATTATTAATTATCAAAATTATTTATTTTTTTATTAAAATAATTATTCAATTATTTAATTTTAGTTATTACATTTTCTATCAAATAAAAAAATTCCAATCAAGACTGTACCTAATAAAATCGTAGAAATTTTAAAACAATAAAAGTATTAACTGAACAATAAATACCGATTAAGCGATTTTTTCAGTTTTATATTATTTACCAAATTTAATTATTATATTTTTCTTAGATAACAATATTTTTATTTTATCCCATTTTATTTTTACATTCACATAAAAAATGAGAATTTCTCAGATTTTTATATCATTTTAATAAAAAATATTCAATAATCTACATTATTTAATCATTGAATATTAATCAAAAGATGAAAATAGTCAAAAAATTAGTAAAATAATAAATAAATAAATAGTAAAAAAACAAATAAATAATAGAATAAACAATTAATAAAATTTGAAAATATAAACCTGAGGATGATTTCGTTGGGCCCTATTTTGTCCAGAATGGAAAGTACTACGACTCGGAACATTCCTTGGAAATGCTGGTGGTGTTGGTGTTGCCAATCTGTTACTTGGAGATACTCCCAAGCTGATAAAATAAAAAAAAGAATAAATTATTTCAAAATCACGTCAAAAAAAAAAAATATTTTCAATTTGACTTTGAGAAAGAAAATTTTCTTAAAAGAAAAAATAACAAATATAACGAAGAGTATTTATAATAAAAAAAGGACATTTTATTAAAAGAAATTTTAAAAAAACATTTCTGAAATCTAAAATTGAAATTTGAGATATTTTTAATTCTGCCAGACGTTTATAATTAAATTATTCAATTCTAGGAAATCAAAGTGTTTAACTTCTTAAATTAAGAGCAAAATTTAAAAATCACATTAAAATCAAGAGAAAATTTTACATTATAAATGATTTAAAAAATTAGATTACACACTCAATGTATATATCTATATTATAAGCAAAAGGTCACATGCTTTAGTAATTAAATCATGAAAATTTAATATTTCCAGTTGTATAAAGCTCGAAAAATAGGAGCATATCCTGCTTCTTTTTGTTTTTGTAATTACATTTCGAAATTAAAATCTATTTTGATAATTTGAATATATTTTCAAATAATAAATAATTAAGTAGGGTTATTAGAGATTATTAATTAATAATTTCTAATAGTACCTAATTTTTTATAATTGAATAAGTTATTAATTAATAATTATAAAAAAATAAATAAATAAAAAGACAAATTAATCCTAAAAAATATCTCGATAATACAGGGAGAAAAATTCCAAAAGAATTAAAAATTGATTTTATTCAATTCTTGTAGAATAATTAATTAATAAAGAACATTTTTACAATATTTTACAATTATTTACAAAAATTATAAGAAATTAGAAGAGTCGCTAATTAATACAGGAGAATAATCATGCTTTAGAACTTTAGATACCGTATACCAAAATTTTATTATTCCTTCCTTTCTTTTTTAATTCTAAAATAGAGAAAAAAAAATTTAATAACATAAATTGGAAATCATGCCCCTTTGAATTTCATAATTTTCACTACTCTACACTACATTTTTGGAGTAAAATTGTATATTTAAAATGAATGAAGACGAATGAAGAGATGACATAAAAGAAAATAAATAAAACACAAAATTCATCAACCATGCAATATACTAATTCTCGAATAATGAAAATGACCATCAACTATCCTTAGAGACTTCTATGAATTTTATTTTCGAAAGAAATAATAAATAAATAATAAATATTATTTATTTTGTATAAACTATAAATATTACTTGTTATTCGCCTTTCGTTATAACCGAATTTAGGCCTTTTATTACAAAATGATTATTTATATAAATTATTTATTTTTATAAACGTACTTTAATCCTAATAGTAATGAAGATTTAAATTGTCTTTTCTGTAAAATGCACCATTGAAAAAGATAAAAATGGGATTCCCTACACCCTAAGAAAGTTAGTGGCCCTTGAAAAAAAGCTTTATTATTATTAATAAAAAAAATAATTATTCGTCAAATACATAAAATAGGTGATACAAAAGGAATTAAGAAATTAAAAAAATAGAAAAAAAGACAGATTATACGATGGGGGCCTGTACCTCTGCCTAAGGGGGTCAGCATTCCCCAGAAGGGAGTTGTGAGCGTTCCGTGGTTGAGAATCCAGTAGTGAATGATCACCCGGGGGAACCCCACTCGAGGAACGGTGACTTGCACTGATGCTTGCAGATTTCGTGTGACCCCTTGTCGGCCTAGTGCCTTCACCCAAGCTGCGTAAAAAACTAGTCAAAAAAAATACGTCCCAACCCTATTCTTTTTTTTTTCTCTTTTTACTTTCTACTTTCGGTTCATCACTATTTTTACTCCACAGAATACAATGTACCAATTATTTACACATTTACATTATCATTGGGGAAAAAGAAACAAAAAAAAATGTATTTTACAAGTAAAACGTAAATTTAAAATTAAGAACAAAAATTACACATTTTTTTGAAAAAGGAAATTGATTTATTTTATTTGAAAAGAAAATTTAGTATTTTTTCTGTAAATATAATTTCTTAATGAATAGAAAGGCCAAGGGGCATTAATCGGTTCCCGTCAAAAATCGCAATTTTTTTGGAGACTATTGAAATTTAATGGATGATCAAATGAATGAATGAATGATAATGTCAATGACTGTAAAGTGTTTGTAAATCTAATTCTAAATTGAAATATTAAAATAGAGAAAATTCGTAAAATGCAACTCATTGTATAAAGGTATCGTGTGTTCACAGAATATTAAGAAGAAGCATCTATAGTAATAAAGATTTTCCATCATTATTTTCTCTCAATTCTGACGAATTGTCAGAAAAAATTACAGTCGCAAGCAGCAGTCACCATGCTTAGAGAGCGGTGCAGCAAAACAAATAGTTCTTTATCTTTAATGACAGATTATTCTTCCTTTTTGGTTCAATTTTTCAAACTTTTCATTCTTTTCTCTTATTTACATTCTCTAAATAAACCTACAGCATATGTTAGTAGAATCAAACGTGTTAGAAGTGATGAGCTTTTCACAAGAAAAAAAAATCTCTCTTTTTTACAAAATCCTACCTATCAAATTAGAAATCCTACCATTTCACCATTTTTTTCCAAGTGAATATAGAGTAATCTTTTCTAAATATGTAAATATTTAAAAAATCTAGATATTTTTGAAATCAGGTTTTGGTAATTTTCCTTTCGTTCATACCTGGGTACATCGTTGGTTCTTTCGGTTGACGAAGTTTTGGCTTGGTCGTAAGAAATGGTGCTGCGTCGACCAATTGATCCAGCGGCAGGTGTAGTCGACGTTCGAACACCAACGCCCGCATTCATCGTGTTGCTCTTCAAAACTCTCGTCTTGCCACTGGGACTCGTTCCGACGCCTTGAATAAACATTGACACTGCAAGACTCATTAGATATGATCCAACACAAAATAAAGCGGGGATATATGATACAATGTTATCGAGAACCAAAATTTACAATAACAATCGAATAAAAAATTTATTAAAAAATTATAAATGCAAAACAATGTAATGAGATGATTATGACTAGGAAGGTGGAATTCCCGCAAACCAGGTCTTTCCTTCATCTCAATTCTTCCAATTTTTTCAATTTTTAACTTTTCCCAATGTCGAAAATAACTTATTTCAACATCCAAGAAAAATTATAAAAAAAAGTCTTTTATATTGTATGTACATTTCTATATTTTTATACTTTTGTATTTTTTTATTTAGTATTTCATTTAATATCAAAGAAAACAATTATTTAAAAAATATAATTTTTTATCAATCAATATCAAAAAAATAAATGTAAAGAATAAAGAAATTATAGTACAGAAAATAATAATTATTATTGTTATCAGTATTCTTTTAAAAAAGTCAATAGATTTTTATAGTTCATGCAAGGAAAAATGAAGTGTCTCGAGTTGAAAATCTATTTAAAACTGTAAGATAAATTTCAAAGACGTCCCACAATTGCAAAAATTCTACTTTGTCCCAGTTTTATCAAATTTCATTAATAAAAATCAATTCAAATTCATTTTTAAGCAAACTTTGTGAAATATGAATTTAAAAACTAAAAATAAATAAGCCATGAATACTGAAGATTTTTTCCAGAAATTGTTAGTCTCAAATCTCTAATTTCGAAATTTTACTTTGAGTCTCATTTTTTTCTTTCTTTTCTATTTTTCATTTACTCGTAAAATTTAAAAATTTTGAAATTAAACTATAAAAAATGAGACATTTGTTTGTCATAATTCCGTGAAAATTTGAAATAATCAAATAAGTATTAAAAATTTTAATTTATACTTAAATATTTAAAACCATTTAAAATTTAAGTTTAAACTGTTAAAATACAATTTAAACGTTAAAATGTAGTTTGAACAGTTAAAATATAATTTCAACATTTAAAATTTGAGTTTTAACAATTAAAAGACAATTTAAGCAGTTAAAATATAATTAGAGCAGTTAAAACTTAATTTCAACATTTAAAATTCGAGTTTAAACACTTAAACTAGAATTTAAAAATGTAAAATTTTAGTTCAAACCTTTCAAACAGTTGAAATTAAAATATGAACACTAAAAGTAAAAAATAAACATTTTACAAAATGTTTACTAAAAACTTTATTTTTTACTAAAAGAGAAACCTGAACTTCTTTTTAAAGAAAGAATTGTAAAACGAGTCTAGAGAAGAGTCTAGAAAATAGAGAGAGACTCGGAACCAAAAAATTAAAAATAGAGAAATTCTTGAAATTTGAATAAGTGATTTGTTAAAAACTGGGATGCGGGTTAATTTATAAATGACGAAGGATAGAGAGTGGGTTTTTTTTCCTTTTTTTCTGAGGGATAGGTTTTAAAAACAAAGACAGAGACAAGAAAAAAAAGCCGGTAGCATACCTTTACCACAGAGAGTAAGAGACAAAACTTTCTCGTGTATAGAACGAGAAAACTTTAAAGCAAAAAGGGAACTCACTGGTATCGAGTTGTCCAGGATTGTTTTTAGGAGCAGAGGGTCTCGATGCAGCGACACGAGCGCTGTTTTCTTTGATCGTTGCTGCGTCTACTGTATTTTGCCTTTTAAAATTGCTACCGCCACTTCCTACTACCGTTCCACTGGTTACGGTTGTGGCATGATTGTGATTCGTTGTGTTACCTGGGCTTGGTGCTATGCCTACAAAAAAATATTCATTTTATTCTCAATCATTCTGAACTCATTTTAGATAAAAATAATTAAAACTAAATAATAATTCATTCCTATTTTTTTATTATTTTTTATTCAAAAGAAGAAAAATTCATAATTATGTTTAATTTCTTTTAATTATTTTATTATTCAATTTTTCTATAGTTCTATTAGTTAAGTTTCAGTATCTTTCAGTTCTATTATTTCTTTTGTTTCTTTCTTTTGAAAGAAATTTATCTTTTTTAAAATTTGAAATTAAAAAATGTCTTGAAATTCTATTTTTTTGAATTAAGGTGTCAGATAACGTACGAAGAGATTCTCCACCGGAAGAAGCTCTTCTACTAGGTTTGGGATTAGTTGCAGAACTACTACGATGAACTCCTCGGTGTGACGGACTCTGAACTGCGCCTCCTGTTCCTCCGCCGCTTCCGCCACCTCCACCTGAACTAACTTGTGGTGGAATGTTACGTAGAGATAGCGAACTACCAGACCGCGAACCATCGCTCTCAGGCTGTTTAAAAAACAATAAACTTATGTGAACAGGGAAAATTAACAGATAATTGATTTTATTGAGTTCTCTTTCGAAATCAACTCCCTCCTTTCGGTTTACAATTAAACAAATAAAAAAAAAATGAAAAATAGAGGAAAAAACTCACGTCAGTCATTTTTCTGCCGAGTAAAAGATAAGTGGCAAAGACATCGTCGTATTTTGCTTGTCCTAATGAATCCTCAATTTCACTCCTTGAATATCCCATAATTGCTAACGCCTCTGTAACACACAGTTGGAATACGCATAGTCACATCTAATAATATTGACAGCTAGTATTTTCTAGTACATACATCAAATTTTTTCTTTTTAATTATTTTCTTTTCAAATTTTTCTTTTTTAGTAATTCTAATTTTTTTTGTATTCTTTTCTTTTTAAATTTTTTTTACTTCTTTAATACAAGAAATTATTTAACAAAAGAATTCCATTATTAAATAAATATTCTATCATAAACTTTTTTCTTATAATAATTGATTTAAGTCCTTTTCGAAAATTAATTTTTAACCTTACTGTTACAATTTAATTTTTTAAAATTCAAAAATATTTGATTTTCAAGATATTTATTACTTACTTAAATTTAGTTTATGAAAATAAAAATTTATACGTTTATATAAAAAATATATAAAAATTTCTTAATCAAACTGATTTTAAATTTACATTTTTTCACAAAATTTTTGTTAGATATTTTAATTCTTTTTATTCGATTCAACGACTACTTTTTTCATGCTACTACTTTTTCATGCGAAGATGTATCAGTATAATTTTCTTCTCTAAAATTCAAAGAATCAAATATTGATAATTTTCCTACTTTAATTTCAATATTGATTAATAATTAAATATTATTTATTTCCAAAAAATCTTCTTCATCACTTGATTAGATTTCTTTCAATAATTGATAAATTTATAAAATAATTGATGAATTCTGAATTGATAAAATAAATGTTGAATAAATCCATTAAAATAATAAATTAATAATTAAATATTATCGAATAATGTATCGATAAAGTAAAGATCGAATAATAATTTGGCAAAATAATTCTTGAATAATTGATGTTGTTGTTTAATTGATAAAAAAATAGTTGCCGAATGAATTTATAATTAAGCATAACAACAGTTTTTTAATTCAAAAAGAAACAAAATTACTGATATACCTTATTAACATAGATAACATTTAATTGCTAACAGTTCTTGGATTTTTGGAACTGTAGCAACATAGACATTCTTACTGTATTATTATTATAATTATTATTTTTATTTGTTTTGTTACGAAGCATTCAAAACAAAATAATAAGAAAATGTTAGTCGACATTTTTCGCGACGAAATTAAAGGATTAATTCTTTTTCTAAAAAAATTTCACATTCAATTATTTAATTTAATTAATACACACAGAATGTCTATCTACGGGTGCACTAATTAATAGAAACAATAGTAGTAAGTGTTATGTACATACTGGCAGACTCACCTATCCTCTTGTGGTCTTTATAATCGGGTTCTGGCTCTAAATACGGTTTTAATTCATCGTCCTCATATCCCGTATTCATCCATTTGTCTTTCATAATATTCTGCAATTTACAAAAAGAAATTTCTCCTCTTTTACCGTTTTTCTCAAAGTATTAAAAACTATTGTACTTCCTCTAAATAATTGATTCATTTTCAAAATACGAGTTTTTAAAATTTTTAGTTTATTAATTTCATTTTAATTTAATTTAATTTAATTTAATTTAATTTAATTTAATTTAATTTAATTTAATTTAATTTAATTTAATAATTCAGTTATTTTGAATTGTTTTTAATGCAAGAATTAAATTATTTTGAATTTAACTTAACAATTAAATTAGTAAATAATTATTAATTAGATTGAATATTTAATTTTCTTCCCTAGTCTATAAATTGTATTTAATAAATAAAGAAAAGTATAAGTGGAAAAAATGAAATTATGTAAGTATTAAACATGCTTTTTGTGTAATTAAAATGGAAATCAAATTAATTTAAAGAAAGTATAAAAACATATAAATTGGGGGGGGGGGGGGGTTTGAATATGTATTGGAAATTTGAAATAAAAATCTTAACTACTCTGAGAGAATAGTATAGATACAAAATAGGATCAAACCTTGTCACCACGTACCTCTAACGAGGCCCGTTTCGTCGGGTTGAGCACCAGAAACTTTTTCAGTAAATTTTCACAGTCAGTGGACATATAAAATGGGATACGGTACTTTCCTCTCAGTACTCTTTCCCTTAATTCTCTCAATGTTGAGCCATCAAACGGCAGGGAGCCTGATACCAGTGTATAGAGAATTACTCCTAATGACCAAACGTCTACTTCTGGACCATCATATTTCTTGCCTGCAAAAAGAAACGTTTAAATTTAAACTAATTATTTTCTCTACATATTTGGATCTTTTTACTGAATTGAATAAAGAAAAAGAATAAAACCTTGAAACAATTCTGGCGCCGCATAAGGAGGGGAACCACAAAATGTATCTAATTTATTTCCTGGAGTGAATTCGTTACTAAATCCAAAGTCAGCTATCTTTATGTTCATTTCACTATCCAACAATAAGTTTTCTGCTTTTAAATCTCTATGAATTATTTTCTTTTGATGACAGTACTGCACGGCTGATACTATTTGCCTAAATTTCGCCCTCGCTTCCTTCTCCTTCATTCTACCGTGTAGAACTAAATAATCGAACACTTCGCCACCGCTCGCGTACTCCATCACCAGGTACAACGTTTTCTCAGTCTCAATCACTTGGAACAGTTTCACTATGTTTGGATGGTCAAGCATTTTCATTATCCTTACTTCACGGAATAACTGGAACAAATTAATAATCGTTAACTAAACGAACAAAAAATAAATACAAAAACATTTTATTTTCCACACTTTTACACCTTGCTTTATTTTTTATTTAGAAAAAAAAATTCTTTTCCCCTTATGCAAAATAAAAGGAATTTAATTTTTTTCTATAATCAACTATCGGAAATGGATGATATATTCCTTTTGTTGGAATTATTTACAATTTATTGATTTTTCCCCACCTGGGAAATTAATTTTGATGGGAAATTAGTTGGTAATTTACCTTCTGAAGACTGCCAGGATTGAGTTGAGTCTTGTCAATTATCTTGATAGCTACTTCCTTCCCCGTAGGTACATGTTTGGCAAGCTTCACCTTGGCAAAGTTGCCTTTGCCGATGGTCTTCAATAATTTGTACTTGCCGATCTGCGGCTCCTCGACGGTCCGCCCTCTCGACGAGACTCGAATGCCTCCACTGCTTGCCCCCACGCCATCACTTGTCTAAATTAAACAAAACAAGAAAAAATTAGCAATTTCTTTTACAAATATACTTTTTTCTTTACTTCACAATATTATTAAATAAATTTCAAAGGAATTTATTTATTCAATTTCATGAAAAGTTGCTTCTGATGTCGTATTATATAATTTATTACTAAAAAGATGAAGATGTCTTTTGGAAATTAAAATTTCTATTCAAATAAAATTTCAGTAAAATGTAATATCAGTAAAAAATGAAAATCTATTTTTTAATTTCGAATTATTTTTCGATTTTCAGTAAAGGAAAATTTGTTGGGTAATATCTGAAAAGTCTGAAACAATTTTCAGTTTTGCGCGCGGTTTAACAAGGAATTCGACGAATTTGGTTGCTACGAGAGAATGCAACTGGAGCGTAAAAAAGAAGGTAATTTGATTCTCCTAAAACGGCTTGACTTGGTCTTATTTACATGGGCTTGTGATTTTTTTCCCTTGTTTCTTTTTTTTTGAGCAAATAAAAACTCGTTTACCAACTGCGTATCGTCATTTGCTTAAAGGAATTTATCGAAGGCACGTTCCAAGAAAACACGTTCTTTTTCGTATCTCTCGCAGTTGAATGAGATATGAAAAAAAGAGAATTTAAGAAAGAAGCAGGTGGCTGAGAGAAATATTATAAAATTTACCCGCAAAAGGCCACGAGTGACCATCTTGCACGAAGAAGAAGCTGCAACTACTTTTGAGGCCGCCAGTTTGACCCGTATTTTAGTTTATACTTTTTAAAAAGATATTTTTCCCGGACCACTTTGTCCCAATTTTTCCCCAAGATAACGAAACTTTCTCGCACTTTAACACATTTACGTACATTTATGGCTCATTCGCATTTTAATCGTTTTCGGCTGTAGAAAAAAAACATTATCTGATTGTGATTCTTTCGCATTTTTTCCCGTTTCAAAATTTTTTTTTCATCTTTCTATTCTTTTCTAATTTGTTCAAATTTGCAAAAATTATTTTTTCAGTCCTTTCAATATTGAATCTTTTTTTATAAGTTTAGTTTTGTTTCCAAGAAAATGAAAATTTCAAAATAAGTAGATACACAAACAAGTATTTAAATAAAAAATACAATTGAGATAAATTTGGAAAAAAGTTGACTGTAAATTTATCATGTAAATCTTGCTTTTTCAAACTTCCCTTGAGTTATATTTGCATTTAAATAAACACAGCCGGTAGTCCAAAAAATATAACTTTAATTCATGAAACTCGAGAGTAAAATTCGCTCATTAAAACTTTGTTATGCTAATAAGATATCGGAAAGTTGAAAACTACTTTCAGTAATTCAAGAAAGACCCGCTGCTACTTTATATAAGCAAATTATACTGAAAAAGATGCCAAATAATCTTGACGTAAACTGGTTATTAGGTTAAACTATTTTATCGATTTTCAAAGTCAATTTCTTCATTTTCCCAATTACTCGAAACTTTTCCAAATCGACGCATTCTTCATTTCTTAATTAATTCAAATATCGCAATTTTTTCAAAAATTTTTCTCATTTTTTATTTCATATATAAAGTAAATTTTCTGTCCATTTAAATCTATGCGATTGAAACAATAAAATTGTTTAGAAATTATCCAAACATTTTTTAATACAAAAATACGAAAAAATTTAAATAAAAAAATATTTCTTCTTCTAAAGTGTTAATTATAAACGTTGTAAACTTGACAAACGATTGAAATTAACAATAAGTTGGTTTAAATCTATACGATTGAAGTTAACAATAAATTCGTTTAAATCTATACGATTGAAATTAACAGCAATTCATTTAAATCCATGCGATTGAAATTGAAAAATAATTTTTGCGTTCTGATTAAACGAATCTCACTCTATCTAGAATGACAAATGCGTCTTCTAAACTTCTCTCCAACAATCTAGCAGCCCTAATAAAAAGGACCTCTAAAATCCTGCATAAAATCACAGCCAGATAATAATTCACTTTCGGAAAATCGTTCGCGAGGCAACAATTCATGTTCCCCATCGAATTGGTCACTGCCCGCAAATAATTGAGATCCTCGATCTCTTGTCTAGAGGCACGCAAGCTCAAAGACACTCCTTTCTCCTCGACTTCCATTTAATCGCATCACTGAATTTTCACTCAATGCGAAAACCTAAAAAAATATGTCCACAATTAAAATACACTCTTTCTCAGAAATCAAAAGCCAAAAACTAAAGAAAAATCCAAAGAAATAAATACACAGTCACTTTTTTATCCTTTTTATCAGTGAGGAAACAGTTTGTTGTTGGAGGCGAGGTCGCTCAAAGACCCCCAGCAACAACGCGAAGCGCACGCCTGGCTGGAGCAGCAGATTGACGAAAGCGAACAACCATCATCATCATCATCATCATCATCATCATCATCATCATCATCATCATCGTTATTATCATCACCCCCCCACCCCCACATCAGCCGGGTCAGAAACAACACCACCCTCTTTTCATAATCACTTTCATTCTTTTTCTCTTCTATAAACTCCCAGTTTCACTCAAAAAATTTTCATTTGATTAACCGACGAGCCATTTTTTTCCTTTTTCACATTGGAAATCAAAAGTGAGGAAACAAAAAGATTGTGTTTCTCTCCCCCATATATATATATATATATATATATATGTGTTGAAGTATTAAAAAAGAAGGGGAGAGAGAACGATGTCGTCGGCGTCAGCAACCCCGAAACGACTGCTGGCGATAGCCAAGGGATGAAAAGAGAATCAATACGTGCCGCCACCCCCGTCAGCGTGGTAAACTGCGCGAACCACCCTTATGGGAACCCTCTCGACTTCTCTTTTGAGGTTGAAAATAATAAAAAAAGGAAAGAGGAATTCAAGGCGCATGCGTTTCCTACAAAGTGTACATACAAAGAGGAATTATGTATATATACACTTTTCCTATCTCTCAAACAAAACATGGTCAGCTGATCGGCTTCTTCACTTTTGCCTTTTAGCCACCCCCACAATTCTGTTCCTTATGTGTGCACTATTACGCCCCTCACTCTCTCTCTCTCTCTCTCTCTCTCTAAAACGAAAAAGACTCCTGGACTTCTATCAAATGTCACCGAAAGTTGCTTCTTAATTTCCCTCTCTCTCTCTCTCACTATCTGCTTTCTTAACTCTGGAAAAATAATTTTTTTTACAAACTTCAACTTTTTTTCTCACTAAATTTAGCTAAATTTTCTCACTAAATTCAGTGAAATTTTCTCTCTAAATTTAATTAAAATTTTAACCGATTTGAATCAATGACTGGCTTTTTGTTTTCAAATCAGTTAAAATTTACTGATTCGTCAGGAAAAAAATACTAAGTCAAAAAATAAATAAAATACCTAGATGATTTATTTATTGAATAGAAATTTTCTTTCTTTTAATTCAAATCTTAACTGATTTAAATCAATGACTGATTTTTGCTTTTTGAATTAGTTAAAATTTGGATACTAATTCGTAAGTAAAAAAAAATTGTTTTCCTACCTTGATATTTCTAAGTAGAAAAATAAATAAAATAGATTTATTTATTAGAAAAATAGATTCAGAAGCAAAAAGTTAACTTCTGATTTAAATAAGTCAAATTTTAACTAATTCAAATTTAAACACTTCTCTGTAAGAGACAATTTTTTAAAATTAATTTTTCAATAATTATTATTTTCAATTTTTAATTAGTTAATTTTTTCTGAAAAGTGAAGGGGTGGGGACTATAATTATGATCATTAAAACATCGACATCGTTGCCTTGAACAAGTCAAAGGGAGAAGATTTAAACAAGCAAATATTTATATTATAGTGTTTAAAGACGAGAATTTTTGGAGCAAGATAAAAATAAATTTTTGCAGAAATTGATTTTGCAGAAGAAATAGAAAATTTGCAAATATTTTTCTTCCATTGGATTCAATTCTTTAATTTTTAATTTAAACAGTAAAGAAACAAAAAATTATTTTTGTCACATTTATCTATTCAAAAATTTTTCTTAAATGTATTTTTTATTTTTATTTATTTTTTCTATTTATATATATTTAATTTGAAATTTTTGAATAATTCCAATATTTAAATTTTAATACTATAATGTTAAATAATATATAGTATAAAAAAATACAAATAGTGAAATTTATGTAATTAAAACTAAAATTTACGAAAAATATTTAGTTAATGTGACTTTTAAAAAATGTTTTGGAAAACATTTATTGAGTCCCAATAAAAATAAATGTAAATTTCATATTTCAACAAATCAATTTTATTCAAAATTACTTCAAAAAAGTAATGAAAAAGGGAAAAATAATAAAATAAAATAAAATAATACAATAAAAAAATAATAATATATTTTATAGTGGTGGAGGGCAATTAGTTTTCAGGATAGGAAAAAGACAAACGATAAAAAATAAAAATAATAGAATAAAAGAAATTAAATAAACTAAAATACTAAAATCATACAAAAAATCTTCCTCTATGAAGAAGCAAAAATAATAAAAAAAAATAATGGAATGACAAAAATTGAGATAAACAACCAAATAATATTCTCTAAATGTAAGCGAAAAGAACAACTGACCTTGTTTTAATTTTTGTAATTAAAAAAAGATAAGAAAAAATTGTCTAACTGTATTAAAAGCATGGAGTAAAAGAAGTTGATTAATTTTTCCAAGTATTATTATTCATTCCAGGAACGAATAACGCTACTTGCCATGCTCATGTATAGTCTGCAATTTTCTATCGACAGCTGTTACGCTCTCGATGAGGAATCTGCTTACAAATTAGAACATGGCAAGACGGAGATATTGTACTGGTAAATGATTATTTATTTATAAGAGAAAGTTCGATTCTCGTTAAATGGAATTGATGTTCAAGAGAGGAAATACACGCGAGAAAGAAGATGAGCGCAGGGGCAATTAAACGTAATTTACTGTCAGAGGAGAATATACTTTGTATGTAATTCACAATTTAAGTAACCATCATCCACTAGATTCAATTTTTCAAATTCAAATATTTCGTATTTTGCAAAAATATTTCAAATATCTGAAAAGAATTGAAAATCTTTTTTTTTAAGGAATTTTTGTATAAATTTCTGAAATTCGTCTTTGAATAGATTTTTTATATTAATCTTTAATAGCAATTTCTGAAATTAATTTTGAAAAATTTTTAAAATTCAGTTTTAAAATTAATCTTTTTACATTATTTTCGGAAAATCAATTTTGAATTTGATTGTTTGAAATTAATTTCCTGAATTCAATTTCATTTCAAGTGAAAAGCACTCTTAAAAACTACTTTGATTTTTACAAGTCTTTTGTATTAACAGATTACTCTTATCTTTAGAACTATAGAGATTATTAATTTATCTGAGTTTTAAAATAACGCTAATTGGAAACAATTTTACTCAATTTCTGTTCCAATTCTTCATTTTTCAAAATGTCAGTTTTGACAAAAGAAACGAAGAAAATCATTTCCAAGAATACTCTTTTCGACTCCTTTTCAAAAAATCCTGTACATTTTCGAAAAGAAGTTAAAAACAGTTTTCCAAATTTAAAAGAAAAAAAGAAAGTATCACCGTTTGATTTTTACAAAATTTATCATTACTATGATATTTTTCGGTGCAACCAATAATGATAAATTCAGCATTAAAAAAAACCGCCTGTTTTTTTATTTTCTAGTAAAAAAGAAAATTTTCTCCAAAAAGAAAGGGGTACCTCCTTATCGCCTTGTGTTTTTGTCATGAGATCCGTCAATGGTCTCATCGATGAGGAAGATTGTTGTTGTTGTGGTTGTTGCTCATCGCGATGATGTTTTCTGGTGATGAATGGTCTCACGGGTAAAAGAGTGTGTTGCTTCCTTGGCTGCATTCTCGTCGGAATTTCCGTTTCCGGTCCACGTCTCGCGTCCGATGCTGTTCTCGACAGTTTTGCAACTTGTCTTTTCCCCTGGTGTCTAACATTACCGCCAGTTGAATTTCTCGTTGCCTCGCCACGTCGCAATGTGGAAACCCTTTTTTTCATTTATTTTTATCATGATGAATTTTTTTTCAATCGTCCACTTATGTAATAATTTATTTATTATTTCACATTTCTCAATTTACCACGTGAGGGGAAATTATTTAAAAAAATATCCAGTTGTCTCAAATTTAAATTGTTGTTCTGCTTTTTTACTCGACTATTATCCAAGCTTCAATTAACAAAGAAATTGTAAATAATTAATTTGGAAAATAATTTACTTTGTAATATTTGGACTAAAAATTGATAATTCTTTTACAAATAAATAAATAATAAAAAAAATTGAGGAGAATAGTAAAAAAATATTTCAAATTTGAATTTATCACTTCGCTATTTTTATTTCTTTAGAGAAATGTAAAGTAAAGCAGGCGAAATATCTTAAAATGAGACATCTGAGACGAGCTTAAAGATATGGAACGTGGCAATATGCAGGCATGATGAGAAAGATGAATGGCATTCAGAAAAGATGATTTACATGAGACGCGTAAACTCTCTCTTTCATATTTAGATAAATTGAGGGGATGCTATTGACCTTTTTACTAACAAAAAAATGACCCTTTGATACTTTACGTAAACGTTCGACTTCTTTTCAAAAAATCCAAGCAATAAAACGAACAAAAATAGAAATAGAAATATTCTTCAATTCTTTTATGCTAAATTTATTCCAATAATTTCCTTCCCTTTTTTCCTTTCAAGTAATTAAATGAAGTTAAATTAACATTTATTTCACATTTACTTTGCATTTAAAATAAACACGTAATTAATCATTAATCAAAAAAAAATTCCCGTTAAAAAATTAATGATATTAAGGGGTTAAACCACTCTAGAGCGTCAAAAAGGGGTTCTAATTTCAACATTTTTTTAAAAGAAAAGTTTAAAAGTAATGAAAAATATGTTTACATATCTCTATCAGGTACACTTTAAAGAAAAAAAAATATACTTTATACATTTTTTTTGTTTAAAAACAGCAGCTGTACATGTACGTGATGGAAACCCTTTTTAAAAAGAATTCCTTCGCGGCCGGAAAGGTTTTTGGTACAATTTTCATCCTAGAGCAGAAAACAATTTTTTTTCTATTTTTACATCTCAAAAGCTGGAGAAAGACGTAGGGGATTCTTTTTAAATCTATTTTTGCAAAAATGGTGAACATTTTATGGAAAAACTGAGTTTTTGACTGAAAAAAATAGGCACTAAATTGTTTATAACTAAAAGAATATGCAACATAAAAAAAATCCCCTACGTCTTTCTCTAGCTTTTGAGATGTAAAAATAGAAAAAAATTTGTTTTCTGTTCTAGGATGAAAATTGTACAAAAAACCTTTCCGGCCGCGAAGGAATTCTTTTTACAAAGGGTTTCCATCACGTACATGTACATCTGCTGTTTTTAAACAAAAAAAAATTTATAAAGTATATTTTTTTCTCTTTAAAGTGTACCTGATAGAGATATGTAAACATATTTTTCATTACTTTTAAACTTTTCTTTAAAAAAAATGTTGAAATTAGAACCTCTTTTTGACGCTCTAGAGTGGTTTAACCCCTTAATATTTTTAAATGTAATTATCAATTTAATTTTATTTCGACGTGATTTAATTTCGATTACTTATTTAGTGTATATTGTATATTTTTATTTTCCATTAATTAATCAACAATAGAAATATACGAAAAATTAAATTAAAAATGATAAAAATTTAGAAATATTCTCGATATTTGAATAAAATAAAAATTTGAAAATTTTTCTTTTTCGAAAATAATGAATTTTTGTAAATATAAATTTGACAATACTCAGTAAACATATTTCATTAGAAAATATATTCAAAATGCAAATTTCTTTGTGTGACGTAAACAATAATTCCATAAAAATATTTTATAACAATTTCAAGATAACGATGACAAATATTTAATATTTAGAACTTGATAAAGAGCGTAGAAGACGCTTTTCTAAAGAATCAAGAAAGACATAAATTCATCAAAGAAATCTAGTACAGTTTTGATAAAACTGGATTCTGTTACTTTTTATTTCTAAAATTTGTCTATTTAACAGAATTTTTAAACTCAGCAAGAATTTATTTTTTATAACAAAATCTGTAGCTTAGTAAATTATTATTTAAAATGAAAATATTTTTTTTCTAATCAAAACATTATTCAAGTTGTGAATTTTATGAATTTGCAATTCGTGAAAATTAATTCCGTGAAATGATAAAAATATTCTCTTCTATACAATTTTTTATGAACAAAAAAATTCTCTTTTTTGCAAATTCTTCGAAAATAAAAATTTCCTTTAATACAAATTTCATTCAATAAAAATTCTTTTCTATGTAAATTTCATTAAATGAAAATTCTCTTTAGTAAAAATTACTTTAAACAAAAATTCCCTTTTATACAAATTTTTTCAATTCAAAATTCTTTTTTATGCAAATTTAATATAAAAAATTTTCTATTTTACAAATTTCTTTAAACAAAAATTCCCTTTTATACTTTCATTAATTAAAAATTCCCTTCTGTACAAACTGCTTTAAATAAAAATTCTTTTTTATACAAATTCCATTAAATGAAAATTTACTTTTGTACAAATTTCTTTAAACAAAAATTTCCTTTTACATCAATTTCATTAATTAAAAATTCCCTGCTGTACAAATTTCTTCAAATAAAAATTTTCTTTAATATCAATAAGTAAAAATTTCCTTTTATACAAATTACAAAAAAATTCTCTTTTATAAAAACTCAAATAATAAAAAGAATTTTATTAAACAAATTTCCTTCAATAAAAATTATGTTTTAAAGCATTAAATAAAAATTCCTTTCTATACAATTTTCTTCAAATATAAATTTTCTTTTATACAAATTTCAATAAGAAAAAATTCTTATACAAATTTCTTTAAATAAAATTCTCTTTTATAATAATTCTGTTAAATAGAATAATACCCCAAATGAAAATTTTTAATCTCCACTTCTTTTTTGATACTAATACTTTATTTTTTAGTTCGTGAAGGAAGAACACAAAGAAATTTTTAAATTCAAAAACTCGTAAAATTAGAAAAATAATAAAAAGTAATGTAAATAATAATAAAAATAGTACAAATAATAAAAAATAATATAATTATAAAAAATAATCCCAAACGTGAATATAAATAAAAATGAAAAGTTGAAAGCAGGAAAAATTCAATAATATCACTCGAATGAAAAGAGAAATGTGAAATATTTTGATGATGGAAGAATGAAAATTACCCCTCAGGCTCATCGTCGACGTTAATCAACAAGTCTTCATGTTCAGCGTAACGTTGATATGGATTTTGTAACGATTGCTCCAGGCACTGATTTTTTTTCGCACTAATAGTATTCACTTCAATTGATCGAACCTGTTGTTCCAATTGTTGAAGTGTGTCATTACTGTCATTATTACGATTTTCCGATTGTTTCAAAACCATATCGAGTCTCACTGGACCCGTCACACCGTGACTACTTGTCGTAATTGGAAGTGAAACTGGTCCCGAATTTTTCATTGGAAAATACATTTTTCTCTCTCCAATCTGCTGCTGCTGCTGTTGTTGCTGCTGCTGCTGATGATGATGATGGTGGTGGTGGTGGTGATCACGCCTAGTCATTGCATCAGTCCAATGTGATTGATTATTTATCGAACGATTTGGCAATGGCGATTGATTGTAATTATTTGCTATTGTTGTTGCTGTTGTTGTTCTTGGCTCACTGGCGCTTGTCGATCTCGACAAAATATTTTTCTCCGACTTTTTCTCCACAACACGTAATCCCTTATCACCTTTGACCAATTCCCACTGCTTTAACTTCTCCAATGTTGTATTATTCCTGGAAGGCAATTTCCTCTGTATCCTTGGATCGACAAAATGCGGCGAGGTATTTGAAGGTTGAAGATCCGGATCCAAGGTCCTTCGAAACATCAGTGGCCGAATTCTCTCGTCAGGCCTCACTGTTCGCGCGTATGTGTCCTCACGATCGTTCATTATCTCGCGACAACCGAGATTGAAAGGCGTTTATGCTAAAGAAGAAAGCGTTTTGGTCGAATTAGCAAAAAGGATTTCAAATTCTCAACAAATTCAGTTATTACTTTATTAAAAATTTCGGCTTTTTTCAATTATTTCTTGTGGGGGAAAGAATTATTTTTGTAGCAAAAAGTATTGAAAAAAAAGAAAAAAACAAAAAATATTCTTTATAGAACAAAAACAAAAAACGGAATTTTTCAGTTTTAAATTACGTGGGTAGAAAATGGTGATTAAAAAAATCTCTAATGATCGTTAGCAAACATTTTCCCAACGGTTTTCTTGTCTAATAGGCGTTTTTTCCGCACATTTTAAAAAATTTCGAAAGCGAAAAAATTCTCCGAATGCAAAAGCTTGAAAAAATTGACAAAATTGACAAAATAAAGCAAAAACGAAACAAACTGAAGAGAAACAAGCAAAGTTGGCCAACAGTTTATGAAAGCAAAATAATAATATCAAATCGGAAGTAGTTTCCTGACTGTATGAAAGAAGCGAGAATATTTATCACAAGAGCACAGGTGTTCGAATTTTTTTTTTCCCTTTTACATGAAAAATTCAATCATTTCCGTCACGAGATTATTATAAAGTTGCACCATTTAGTTTGTCGGCTGAAGCGTAACGAGAATTTTTGAAACCAGCAATTATACTCGTGTATAAAAATTCATTCACTCTGTTTGATTTCGAAATTAATTTGATAACAAAAATATTCACTCCGTTTGATTAGAAAATTAATTAATGACAAAAATATCCACTCCTTTTGATTAGATAATTAATTAATTTCCTAACAACAAAAACATCAACTCATTTTGATTACGAAATTAATTAATTAATAAATATTCACTCCGTTTGATTACGAAATTAATTTATAATCAAAATTTTCACTCCGTCTGATTATGAAATTAATTATAAACAAAAATATTAACTCCTTTTGATTACGAAATTAATTAATATTCACAATAAATATTCACACCGTTTGATTACGAAACTAATTACCAACAAAAAGAGAGGCGAAAAATATTAGAAAAAAGTGTAGAACGAAAATATTCACTCTATTTGATTACGAAATTAATTAATAACAAAAAAAGTGAGGAAAAATATTAAAAAAAAGCGTAGGACGAAAATATTCACTCTGTTTGTTAACGAAAATAATTAACAACAAAAAAAGAGGGTAAAAATAATTAAAAAAGTGTAGAACAAAAATATTAACTCCGATTTGATTACGAAATTAAGTGCCGACAAAAAAACAGGGAAAAAATATTGGAAAAAGTGTAAAATGAAAAATATTCACTTCATTTGTTAACAAAGTTAATTAACAACAGAAAAAAGAGGGGAAAATAACGAAAAAAGTGTAGAATAAAAATATCCACTCCGCCTAATTACAAAATTAATAAATACCCAAAAAAAAAGACAGGAGAAAAAATATTGAAAATTGTAAAATAAAAAATACCGCACTGGAGATAAAATAATTATCTTTTTTGAGTTGATAGAAAATTATCTGAGAAACTGACAAGAACTTACGTGCGATGCTCGTAACCACAGTCAGTATCAGAAATAGGTATATAAAAGAAGATTATAACAAGGTGAAAGATAAGAATTTTCTGCTTTACAGGATCGTGTTTCTTGTTGCACTTGAAACAATATAATGAATGTTCACTCGAGACAATCGATATCAGTTTCGAGTTAAGAAGACCCAACTCTCTGAAATCCCCCGATTGGATTTACATTTGACAGTGCTAATAAATCTTCAATTAATCAGTTTTTTCAAATTATCGAACAAAATGAGAAAATTTATTTCCCCGATAGAGATAAAGAAGAATTCACCATTTTCCCATTCATTTTTCTCCAATTTCTTGAAATTTCATTATTATTGTGACATTTTTTATTTTTTACCAAGTGGTCATTAATTTTAGTGTAAATAAAAATTTTTAGAGTAAAATTTAAGTTTTTTCAGTGTTGAATTTAATTTTAATGTAAATGAAAATTCTTTTAGCGTAAAATTTAAGTTTCCTCAGTGTGAAATTTAATGTCAGTATAAAATTTAATTTTTTCTAGTGTAAAATTTTCAATTCGCAATTAAAAGAATAATAATATTCGAAGGCGTGTTTTTTCTCAAACGAAACACTTGCGAGATTAACGTTCGCCAATGACACTAAAATATTATTGCATACTTGAATCATAACTTGAATCACAAAGAAACGAAATTCATAGGACTAATTGACCGGATATAAATAATACTTCAACTGTTCATTTTTTTCTTTTTTTAAACTCGACAAGAAAAATATTGTAAAAATAGAAAACTAGAATAGGAAATGTTACGTAGACTCGATACGACGAGGCACTGCAGGGTCCATTTTCTTGCTGATAAGCACTGCCGACAAACTCAACTGGTGTTATTCCCTTATCAACATGGAAGATACTGATAAGCGATAGCCTACCTACAATTCGATTTAAACAGTGTCTAAAGAGAAAAAAAATTTTTTCGTTCCACTACTCATTATATTGACCATTTTTTTTCATTGAGAATGCCGAAAAAAATGTTAAATATTTATTTAAACTTTAAATAAGAAATAAGAAAATTTAAATAAATATTCCAGTTAAATTTTTTCGAAAAAAAAATATTTCATTAAGACAAAAGAGGTGTTTGAAAAATATTTTACGACAAAGAAGGTGTTTAAAAAATATTTTACAACCACAAAAGATGTGTTTAGAAAATATTTTTCTATAAATAAAAAAGAGAAGTAATTAAAAGTAAAATTAAGTAAACAAAAAACTTAGACTAAAAAATAAGGAAAAAAAAGAAAAACTAAAACTATAAAGAAGTAAAAAAAACGTATTCAAAAATTATTTTCCAAAAAAAATATTCTCAAATTGAAAAAATCCAAAAGACCGTAAATTATAGAAAATAAATAAACTTAGAAAAAAATTGAGAAAAAAAATTTTTTGTCTTTTAAATTAGAGAGATTAATTTTTAATTTCTTATTGGATCACAATAAGAAAAATTAAATAAACAAAAAAATACTAGACATCTGAAAATGCTTGAGTTTGGATTATTGTGTTTAAAATAAAAATGTGTAGTTTGGATTTTGCAGAGTCCATCGTTAGAAAATAAAAAATACTTGGATCTGTGCGTCATTTCATTATTTTTTTTTACGTAAATGTCAGTGATGTAATGTGATTCATGTCCTCGAACAGAGTAAATGTTTTCAATTGCAGTGAACAATTTATTATTAACACTAAAAATTAGGGACCGTCAATGAAAACAAAAAAAAACATACCAAATCACTATTAAACATTTTTTTCAAATAATTTTTTTCGAAGCAAAATTTTCTCTATAAAAACGTATTTAAATAAATATTTTAAAATTGTTTTTATTTATAGAAAAAGAACTATAAATAATTAAATGAATTTTTTTTGAAAGTCGGGTCTATACCTACTAAATAAGTAAATAAATAAATAAGTAAGTAAATAAACATTAAAGAAGTAAATCAATAAGTAAATAAACAAATTAATAAATAAGCAAGTAAATGAATAAATGAGTAAATAAGTAAGTAAATAAATAAATATACAAATAGATAAATAACAAAATAAATTAATAAATAACAGAAAATGAATATATTTTTAAATAAATAAAAATGCTAAAAGAATAACGTTAATTTTTTTATTATTTTCTTTTTAATGAAAATAGAGAATTGTATATAAAAATAAATATTCTCTTAATAAAAAAGCTTAAAAATAAACTTGTAAATAAAAAAACATAAAACTGAATCCTTTTTAGTAAAATATTTTAAAAAATGAATAAAATGTCTGTTAGTGATTATTTTCATAAATCTAAATTCTTGTGGAAAAGTAAAAACTAAAAAAGCTTCTTTTGTGATTATTTGCTGTCAAAATTATTTTCAAAAAAAAAAAAAAAAAAGAAAAACGATAACAGTAAATAACGAATAAAAAATAAATGTCAAAGTAGCATTTTCAGACCAATTTTCAAAAAAAAAAAAAAAAAAAAAAAATCCCACACTACGAACAACAAATAAAAACGAAATGTCAAAGTTTCTCTCGACATTAAGGATTCACAGAAAAGTTTTTAATTTCTCAAATTAATTATAAGTTGCAAAGAGGAAATTATTTAAATATTTCTTTTTCTCTCTAACTGAAGCTGAAGAAAAAAAATATAACTTTAAAATTTAAGAGCCTTTTTTTCCAGCGAAGTATACAACAGTTAATTTTTTCCCTAACTCTTTTTATACTGAAAAAAAATACTTTTTACGATCCACCTAGAGAAATGAAAAAAAAATTAAGGTTAATTAATAATTTTGTATTTGAGGTATGTACGTACTTATAGTGTGAATTCGCGACTTCAAAAAGGAAATTATATGACAAAATGTCAAAAACAAGAATATAGATGTACTCTCTATAATAATTCAATTTATCGTTTCGCTTTTACTCTTATATTTAAATTGAAATCATTACTTGTGAAGCACAAAGTAGCGTTGAAACATTTTTCAACAAAATGGAAAATTAATTTTCAGGTTAGAGTGAAAAAGAAAAAAAGCGTGAAAGAAAACACTTTTTCTGTTAGTAAGAATATATTGAAGTCAGGCAAATTTTTTTCACGCGAAGAAATTTAGACAAAAATATCAATTTCTCAGAAAAGAAATAAAATTTTATTCAGTATTTTAATATCAAAAATAAAAAAAAATCATGTTCTGAAGTTCTGAACGTTAAATTATTCCTACAATTCTATTTTTTAAATTTAAATTTAAAATTTATTTCCAATAATTATTTCAAATAAATATTTTCGGTATTTTCTAATAATTATTTTTCGAATATTAATTATTCAAATGAATATGTATTTTCGGTAATTTTTTCGGTATTTTCAAGTACTTTCAAGTATCAATTAAAATATTAATTGAAATAAACATTTTCGGTATATTTTCAGATAAAAATATTGTTTAATAAATATTTGAAATAAATGTTCGAGTTAAGTATTCAACAATAAAGT